GAGGGTAAAAATGAAAGTAAATGCAAAACTTTAAGACAAAAGAAAAGTAATTAAGAAAAAGGGATTAAATAGAAGTGAAGAGAGGAGATTATCTAGGTTGAATCTAGAATCCATGGGAAAGGTTAAGGAGGTCAAAATTCCTGCCTTACAATAAAGTGCTACAACTAATCAGATAAATATTAGATATTAATACAACAATTAAGTAGAAACCAATGTAATATTAGGATTACATTCAATTCCCATATGAGTTGTAAAAGTTATCGTTGATTTGATTTATTATTTAATTTACCTTGATTAAGTGTCTAAAAAACAAACAGGTAAATCACAATTTGTTACAGCTATGAAAAGACTGGACAATTAATTATGGACAATTAATTATAATCAGGGAAAGAGAGTTAATCTCATTCCAATATTAATCTACTAACAGCAATTAAATAAATTGAAACAAAGTTGTAACTTATTGATATGTTGATAGTTGTCTGAGTATAATACAAATGTCAAGGTAAATAATTCAAGTTGATAAATGTGATATTATGATGAAGATGAAGATGAGGATGAAGATGAAGATGAGGATGAATATCATTAATACGAGATCATTTGTGAACATGATACAGGAATTAAGGATAAGAATATGGATCAGTATCAAGGGATTTATATCTTTTATTATTATTATTATTTTTCTCTTCCTTCATCATTAAGACAGAAGAAGAGAATCAAAGTTATAGTAATATAATGAAAGTGGAAAGAAAAAAAAATTCTAACGGTAAAACTAAATCTCCATAGGAATAAATTATTATCATGGTAATGTTGATGGTCATTACTCTTTGTGATGATAATATTCAAGATTCTTTCAGTCTCATCTTAATGATGATGGTGATGATTAATATGAAAGAGGAACAAAAAATTCCGATTAATATGATTCAGTTTTTGATCTGATCAGTTGACAGAAACTGAATTTATATCTCCATGTTATCGTGAGGTATTCATCATGTTTGAATAAGTTTTAATGGTTCGTTGATTGTTGATATGTTTATATGATGGGTGATGATGGTCACCATGATGATGATGATGACCATCATCACCATGGCCATTAGATTGATGAAAATAATGTAAATAATATTAAGATTGAAACAATGAATTAATATCAAATTGATTGTTATATATTATTTAGTATTTACCTTGAAATTTTATCTCATTTGTTTACATCATCTCAAGTGATTCTAGAATGAAAGTTGTAATTTCAAGTTTTTTTTTCATTGTTATTATTATTATATTTGTATGGATATCATGATGATAATGAAGATAATAAAATCATCATGGTTATTTGTTCATTGTGAATGTAATATAATAAATTGAATGATAGGTTTTCATCATTTGTATTCATTTGTATTCAATGAAAATAGGAAATTTTTTCCTCCACCTCAGACTGTTGAGATTAAGAAAAAGTTTTTCAGATTTATATTCAGGATGTTGATTCTGAATTCTGACAATGGATTCCATGGGTATATTAGTATATGTATACAAGAATATATCATTACTATCATGTTGAGTTTTCAATTCTTTAAATTCAAGAGAAATTTTTCCTCTCTCTACCTTTTGCTTATGGGAAATTCTGGTTTCATGGAGATAAATTCAAACCAGAAATTCATGATAATGATAATGATGATTATGGTAACGGTAAATAAAGTATCATGGTAATAATTCAGATAATATCTCATCATGAGTTTCAATATTGATCACAATGTTTATGAGCATTATATTATCAAGTCCAGAAATTTTTCTCCTCTTTCTAAATTGTGTAATCCATGAAATCTGATTAATATTTTTATCAATTGAAATTATTGGAGGAAAATGTTCCAGATTCATGATGAAAACTCTGAATGAATGAATTTTTGAATTTTATCTGATGAGTAACAAAAAAAAAGTTATCCATTAGTTGGATTTACAGTTAATATAGTTGATCGAGATGAAAATGATTACTTTAAACTGATCAATATCTATGGGATTTACTAGTCCATCATTGAGTTACAGAAATCAATAAATTGTTGTTGATTATGATAGTAGTTGGTTTAAATTGTTATTATTGTAGAAAACAGGAAAACCCAAATTGATTAATCAAATTCAATTCCTGGAAACAATCAAATTGAAAGAAACAAATAGTAAACTAGCTTCAAGTTTACCGTTATTTTCAATGTAAACACAGTTTACTTTGTTTCCAATGGTTCAATTTGATTGAGTTGGAGGCAAAAAAATTCAATACAATTTATAAATTGTTATGATAATCGAGAAACATTAATATTTATTTTCATCTCTAGTTTTTGACAGTCGATTCAATTTGATGGATTTACAATTTATGTATTAAAAGTAAATTAAATCTTCAAAGAGTTAAGTGAATTGAAACAATTAACTTGAATCACATTCTATCGGATTGATAATTAGCTCTACCAACCTCTGATTAACCAATTAACTTTTCCCATTTATAAGTATCATTGATAATTAATGAGCCTGAAAATACAATTAGATAAGCAATTCAAATCTCATGAGATTAATTTAGGTTAATACATATTTAGATGATTAGTTGGTTGATTGTTGGTTGATATCAATTGTCATCATTACAATTAATTATCAAACCAATGATCAAATTTGTAAATAAATTGATAATTAATAGATCTGGTTGGAGGTTAATTGTAATTAGTTTTTAGTGTTTAAAAAAATGAGAGTGAATTGAATTGGTTCAATTCAATTTAACCACTCAAATTAATTTAAACAGTTGAAGTGATTTGATTGGAAAGTTTAATCAGCAATCAAATTGTAAACCCAAATAATATTATTATTAATACATTGGCAATCAAATTGTCTCATTCAATTTAAATCAATCGTAACACTGTTAATAACAATCAAGTGAATCACAAAAAAAAAAGGTAACAACAATTTAAATGTACATTATTATTATAATAACAACAATCAGAATCAACTGATTAACATAACAATTGAATTTGTATTAATAGCAAAAAAATAAATCAACTAAAGGTAATTGACATTTGCCTGAATACAATTTGACAATTGTTAATGAAATCAAGTTGATCATATTTGATTTAATAAGTTGATTGTTGTTAATTTTTTGTCTTCATCTTGATAGTGAATGATAACAATACATATGAATGTTGGTTCTCATTAGTAATCAACAAATGGTAATGATTAACTATCATAAAAATCAATATGAACAATTTAATTGCTTAGTACATACAATTGTCAAGCAAATAATCAATGGATTACCTAAGACAATTACAATGACAATTTAATGATGATCAGTTGATATAATGAACTAAAGTTAAGTAGCTCAATCGATTACAACAAAAATAATGATAATAAAAACACAGAAAACTACAACAATCAACAATCAACAATCAACATTGATCTTAAATTGTTACTCGTTATCATGAATTAACATTAAACCAACAGACAGAAATTATTATCATAATAATCAAAAGGAATCATGATCATCATCATTGTATTATCAACAATTAATAACCTTTTATACTTGTGTGTTAGTATATTAACTAAATTATCTGAGAGTTAAACTAATTAACTTCCCAGGAAGAAGATGAATCAACAATTAATTATGTTACATAATAATTAACTGAATGTATCTTTGACAAGAGAGAGAAAGGTTAATAAAAGGTCTTTGATTATCATTGTTTAGGTGTTAATTACACTTGTGATTAAATTGTAGTAAAGTAATTAACATGTAAATCTCTTGTACTTTGTGTGTGTCTTTAATTTGATTGATTAAAGTAATTTAGTTGACAATTTTTGCTCTTCACAAATTAGAGTTGAAATCAATAAATCACTTTTCTAATATCGTTACATTTATATATCAATTTGATAAGTGACACAATTGTATTGGTAAAAACAAATACCACTGACACATGGATATCTAAAAGGTAATAGCAATTCAATTTAAATTCAATTGAATTACAATTGGATTTAGAGAAAATTTTTTTCTTTTTTTCTTCTCATGTAAGTTTACTGAATGTTTATAAAAAAAAAGTTCAAGAACAGGTAGAGATTGAATTTGAGAGAAAGAGAGATGAAGAAAACAAATTAACTTTATATTCATGTTCTGGTGAACATGAAATCTTTTTCATGAGATTCAATATATTATGATGATGGACACATACAGTTAAGATAATGAAGGTGATGAAGATAAAAAATATAAGATGATAATCTATCAATAAGAATTGACTATAAACTAATACATATATTCAGAATATGAGAGAGATAAAATATTATCATGATAAGAAGATGATAAATATCATGATGATGAAAGGAAATATCAAGAATTTACCATGAGGATGATTCTGGTCAAAGAGAAAAGGTAATGATGATGATGTTATCTCTCTCTCTCTCTCTCTCTCTCTCTCTCTCTCTCTCTCTGTTATTTTTTCTCTTCTTTTCTAGTTGAAAGTCACGTTCAAAGGTGGAAAGTATCATAATCTTTTTCAATGTAATTCACGTCAACCTGAACACACAATTTTCCCTCTGAATTAACTGATCAACTTGAGAAGAAAAGAAAGAAAAGAAAGAGAAAAATCCAATCGCTATTTATATTACACTGGGAGTGGAAAATAGTAACTGAGTATCTGTATCACCATACGAATCAAGTAAAATGTGTGTAACCTAAATCACGTTTCCACCAGGGAGGGAAAAGATATTCTTACGAAATTATCATGTTAAAAAAACTCGAAAAAAAAGAGACAAAGTCATTAACTAAATGTACATAATAATAACACGATTTAATTAATCGTAAAAAGAATAGTGTTGAAAAAAAAAATAACTCGAAGTAGAAAAAAAATCCTTTCTGATAAGTCAACATGATGATTTCATGGAGATTGAATAATGAGATTAAATTGAGTTTACATGTTTCAAGGTTCTAATCTGTTGGTGATGATGATGGATTTTAAGTAAATGAAATTTAGTGAAAAGTGTTAATTACTTACCAAAAGTTCCGCTTAATTTAATACAAGCGGATGCTGGAAATTTACCGTTACGATTTTTCCTTCCCGCCCAACATGGTGATTCCAATACTTCACTTGAGTAATTGTTATGAAAAGGATCTTCACATAATGAATTTTTACCATCGATGGAAACACATTTAAAACAATCGATTGCATCTGATGAATTATCGGAATAAAATAAGATATTGATTAGGAAATAATTTCTTTACGTTATATTTTTCACTGCAACTCTTTTTACTCAGTTAATTGTGTTAATTGGGTGAAAATTACTCACCGATTTCATGGTAACATGTAAACAAGGAAGCGATGAGTAGGATTAAATTTGGTGAGTTCATTGTGATTAAAAAGTTGATTCTCTTCAATTTGGATTGATTAACTTAATTCTCAGTTTATATTACAAAGTGAATATCAATTAATCATTTTTTTTTTGTTTTTCTCAAATGGAAATGAGAAGATCATTACTTTTTCTCTCTCAATGGATTAACTGGATTAAGAGATTAACATTCTAGTTGAATTTTCCTTGGATTTTCTTGGCCTCCGTTGGTTCAATTTTTTGGACACTTTTTCGTTTTTTGATTTATCACTTTGAAGCTTTGGGAACGAATAACAAAATTCTGATTGATCACTTTCGCTTATCTTCAATTTAGACAATTCTCTGTTCGTTTTTATATTAATAACTTGTTTCTCTTGAGTTGACGATTTCTAATTCTCTCTTTCTTTCTCATTCAAACTTAGAACTTTCGATTGTCAATCGTCGAAATGTTCTTGATTGTTGTTGTTGTTTTTCTTGTTCTTCGATTGAGTTACTTTTTATTTTCTTCCTTTTTCTTGTTTATTACTTTTTCTTTTCTTTCACAATTTATATATTATTCACTTTGTAGTTTCTTGGTGTTCACATGAGGATAAAATGATGATATAGTTTCAAGAACGAGACTCATCAGGTCTGAATTTATCTATTCCAAGTTTCTCTCCTTCTCTCTCTTTTATCTTCCAGTTATCATGACATGAAAATTGATGATGAAAACTAATCGATTCTGTTCAATTCGTTCAGTTACATGGTGACCTCTTGCAACTATTCATGACATTAGAGCTTCAATTTCATTTGCTGAAACTTTGGTTTCTCCGCTTTTGGGTTTAGTAGATTTTTGTGTCAAATCCAATGGAAATTAAGTTTTTTTTCTGTGAATTGTGATTAATTCGTAAAATTGTTGTTGTAATTTAATTCAGTTTATCACTTGGCAGCTTGTTGATAATATATTTATACAGTTTATATGTTTCTTGTTAGACTTTTAAAATTGCTTTCACTTGACAAAGATTAATAAATGAAATTGGTGTTGCTTTATAAAAGGTAACATTTTTTAAATTAGATTGTTTTTTCATCGATTGATTTGAATTGTGATCAATTTCATTAAGAATAGTTTCTGATGTTAAATTCTCATAATATTCATTATCAAGTTCATCTGAATTGTCAAATAAACTTATCGATTTTGATTGTATCATGTTAATTTTTTCAATACAACCAAGCGAATCGAGAAGTTTAATTATGTCTAATACTTGAACAGGAGGTAAAATATCAGAACATTCAATGAATAATTTTTCTTCCGTGATTCCTGGTTTAAGAAGAAGTGTTCCCAGGACGAAGGAAAGATAATTAAACAATATCGGCTTGTGAACATTTCCATAGGCGTCTTTCCATAGTTTGGGTATAAAACAGATCGCTTTTGATCTGTCCGCTTCCGTTGATCCAGTTCCACTAGAATATGAATGAACTAACCAATGGTAAACATGAGACTGATGAACAAAACGATATTTCATTACACCGACAGCATAAATTTCACCGATAGAGATCAGGTTTGTAATCGCTTCTTCAGGCCAACTTTGGTCACAAAAGTTATAAATATCCTCTTCCGTTGCTCCGGTTTCTTGAAAGTTTGAAATAAAGTTAAGATGATACAATGATGGAATTGTGATGAAAAAGAAATGAAGTTCAGTTGATGCTTTTTTAAAGTTTCTCGATCGATAAAATGGATTATTTGAGAAGATAGAATAGACTTTTAGTTGATCCTGGTTTAATTATTTTTAATCCCGATACTCTTTTATCCACATTGGATTTTGTTGATAAGACATCCACAAGTTTCTTGTCTCGAACGAGAAAATCTTTGATTGACTTGTTGGTCAATTTTTTTGTTGGAAGTGAAGAAAGCGTCAAATTAATCTTTGAATCAATATTTGAATTAGTTTCATTGGTTGTCGTATTCTTCAGTTTGAAAACTGGTATACATTCAGGTTCATCTTCGTCATCTGAATTTTCATCATCTGATGATGAATCTCTAGCATCATCAAGCCAAGTTGAAGCAGCAGTTTTCCATTTGAATCTCTTAACTCTTTTTCTGTCAGAGTGTAAATCGCCATCTTCCAAATACCTTTCTTGTAATTGTAACAAGAGTTTTTTATCATCTCTCAATAGTTCTTTTTGATAAGATGCAGCAACATCTTTTCTCAAATTTTCGTAATCAAGAGCATCAGCTTTCTCATCAATCAGCTCTTTAAGCATTTCGTCTTCTTCTTCCTCGTCATCTGAGCTATCAGAACCTGAAACCTCAGCTTCATTGAAGAAAAAATAACTTGGTTTAACGATTTCGATTTGTTCATCATCTGAATCATCACCATCGATCATTTCTACCTCTTCTACTTCGTCTTCATCTCCTTGTTCTTGTTCTTGTTCTTCTTCCTCCTCGAATTCTTCGTCTTCGTCTTCCTCTTCTAATTTTTTTTCATCAGCTTCGTCTTCTCCAGCTGGAGCATCGTATATTTGTGATTTTTTTGTGTCACCTCCTTTATCATCTTTCTCGTTTTCAGCCTTGCCAGTTTCTTCTTCTTCTTCTTTCTTCTTCTTCTTCTTCTTCTTCTTCTTCTTCCTTTTCTTTTTCTTCCTCTTCCTCGTCATCTATAATTATTTTTTCTTGCTCCTTTTTCAAAATCAATTCTTCTTCCTCGTCTCTTTCTTCTCCATAGAATAGCTTTTTAGACTCATAATGAATGAATCTTTCCCTAAGATTTTCATTCATAGAGTTGAAGAGTTTCTCTTTGACCGAAAAAAAATTACGAGTCACAACTGGCGGGCTTGTTGTTGTGGGGACAAATTTTAAGACTTTTTGATTCAAATTAAATTCTAAACCAGCCTTGTATCGTTTAAGAGACAATGGTTGTGGAGCATTTTTATAATCTTTGAAGTTTCTACATTGAGAAAAGAAAAAGAAAACAAAACAAAAATGTAAATAAAAAAGAACATTTTCAAAAATAGAAAGATTTTCACCAAAAGATAAAAAACAAACACAAGCAATGAACACAAAAAACTTTACCTTTTCATCTTAGCAGCTTTTTCTTAAGAAAATTGAATCTCAAGATAAAAGGATAATTAAGAATAAACCACAAAAGTAAAACAATAATCAAAATTACACCAAACAATAAAAAAATTACAATATAATCAAAAAGTCTTTTTGAAAAAGATGAACAAGAAACACAAAGTATCCAAGCAAGGAAACATTAGATTGGCGCTTAAAGAATCACCTCACCGCCTGGTGAGTCAAAATTCCATCTCCATGGTAGCAAAATTACGCGGTTTTTTCAAAGACTAAAAATAAAAAACCAAAAAGAATCTTAATTGTTATAATATTTCCTCTTTCTTTTTATTTCCTACCACTTTCAGAGAGTAAAGTTCAACGCACTATTTAACCTGAACAGGTCAATATACGATGTATAGAATAATTCAAATGATTTCTTTTCATTTCCTCCAAGTTTCTCATAAAAATCCATTGATAATTCAACGGGAATTACATTAAGCTTGAATAGACTCACAGGTAACAATTAGATTTGATAGATTGTACAAATTTAAGTGATAGATGGGAAGAGAGAGAGAGAGAGAGAGAGCTTGTTGATGTTGAAGTTTTTTTTCTGTGAATTGTGATTAATTCGTAAAATTGTTGTTGTAATTTAATTCAGTTTATCACTTGGCAGCTTGTTGATAATATATTTATACAGTTTATATGTTTCTTGTTAGACTTTTAAAATTGCTTTCACTTGACAAAGATTAATAAATGAAATTGGTGTTGCTTTATAAAAGGTAACATTTTTTAAATTAGATTGTTTTTTCATCGATTGATTTGAATTGTGATCAATTTCATTAAGAATAGTTTCTGATGTTAAATTCTCATAATATTCATTATCAAGTTCATCTGAATTGTCAAATAAACTTATCGATTTTGATTGTATCATGTTAATTTTTTCAATACAACCAAGCGAATCGAGAAGTTTAATTATGTCTAACACTTGAACGGGAGGTAAAATATCAGAACATTCAATGAATAATTTTTCTTCCGTGATTCCTGGTTTAAGAAGAAGTGTTCCCAGGACGAAGGAAAGATAATTAAACAATATCGGCTTGTGAACATTTCCATATGCGTCTTTCCATAGTTTGGGTATAAAACAGATCGCTTTTGATCTGTCCGCTTCCGTTGATCCAGTTCCACTAGAATATGAATGAACTAACCAATGGTAAACATGAGACTGGTGAACAAAACGATATTTCATTACACCGACAGCATAAATTTCACCGATAGAGATCAAGTTTGTAATCGCTTCTTCAGGCCAACTTTGGTCACAAAAGTTGTAAATATCCTCTTCCGTTGCTCCGGTTTCTTGAAAGTTTGAAATAAAGTTAACAAGGTCCACATATTCATCTGGAATTATATTGTTACATGGAGATTTGGTGTCCGCTTTTTTCACCTCATGAGTACTTAATAGCTCCATAAATTTATCGGTATTCAAAGTAATATCTTTACTCGTACATAAAACTGGACACGATTTAATTGCCAGATAATCTTGACAATGTTGTTTACTAACAAAAGTGTCGTCAAAAAGTTTCTCTCGGAAACAATATAAGGCAAATCGAGAAGCCAATTTGGGATCTTCAAATATAGCACGAACGTTTTCATTTGAAGTTTTCGCAACAAGAGCAGTTGATGGCGAATCTGTCACTAGATTAGTAGATGTTGAACATTGAGGTGATGGTAAGGCTAAAGGAGGTGAATTTAGTGGTTGTGGTATTTCAGCGCGATTACGGTTTTCCAGTTTTCCTTTATCAATGAAGACAAAATTATCGGGAATCGTTATGTTAAATGTGGCCAAATTAGTGGTAAAAAGGTTTGATATAATTGGAACTTGAGTACGGACACCATTATCTTCAAATGTGAGAACTTTATCCTCAATAGGAATGGTCAATGTGTCCATGCAAAATTTAGTCTTCAATTTGAAAAGATAAGCTTGTGATATCTTATAAGGTGCAAGTCCACGAGTTTTAAATGCAACGGTAGCGCTTGTCGAAGTGGCCCATTTCCTCACTTTGGTCATGATACGATTCTTTGAAAGTCGATCGAGTACCGTTCGTATGAGTACATCAGGATAACATTGGTAAATTTTAAAAAGTGTATGTGAATAATTGTTTACCGCAGTGGATCTGTTGACTACGTGAACATTGTACATCAATGTTGACGTGATTACATTTTGAATAACGGAAACACAAATATCAACTATATTTTCTGGTTCCGTGTAGAGATCAGGTTTTTGTGGTAAAATTGAACTGTGAGATTCAATTATCTTATGATTGGCCTTTAATTGTTCCAGTGTTTCATAGGTTGGCGTCATTTGTGTTGTTGAGGCCGATGAAAGGTTCAAATGGTAAGCCTGGAATTTGGTCAATAAAATGTGAAGATATTTAAGAAAAGCACCAGACCAAGCTTTCGTATCCGATTTGGGTGTTGAAGGACGACCAATGTTTAGACTATCGATTTCATGTTTTACATCGGAAACCCATTCGATTACATTTTCTCGGGTTCTTGATTTTTTCAACATATAGTTAAGGCGACGTTGACAGGCTCGAATTGTTTTGTCCATTGAAATTTCGGGCAAATATTTGTGCAATTCGTCGCGAATTAAACTACCAGAGACACAGACAAAAGTTGGACACGATGGATCTAATAAGATTGATGCAATTCGACACATGAGAAGAAATGAATCTTCCTCTTTACTCCATTGGACTCGACGTTTTTTCATCAATTCGATCGCTTTAATATCCGTCTCATCGTATAAAAGATGACGTTTTCTCTTGGGCCTTGATAATCTTTTAGGGTCTTTAACTTTCTCAATCAATGTTGTTGATTTAGAAGATGATTTTCCTTTAGTTGACTGTTTCTTCATCTTTTTTGCCGGTGGTACCAAACTAACGGAGGTCTCATTATGATTTTCCTCTATTGACCCGTTTTCACCAACGATTGCCAAAGGTAACGAAGTTTCCTCAACATGAGTAAATGACCTTTTACGACTGGGATATTTACATTTTAGGGCTTCTAATCGAGCTCTATTATCGCTTGGGGAATAAGCGAGACTAGTTCTTAATCGACCTGAATGAGTGATAACTTCACTCATAAGATGATTTCGTATTGATGGTGAATAGGTCCAATTCCGTTGATTATGGGCAAACAGTCGAGGATCAAGTGAGCAATTATTACAATCAGCTCGAGAACAATGGTAAGATAGATCACCATTGAAAGTTTCCACATCAGCAAGAGTTTTAAAATTATAAACTTTCACAGTACCACAGTCCATAAATGATGTCGTGGTAATTATACTAATTTTAGCGGTTTCCTTTGGATATGATTCCATATAATCAAGTTTCACTAGTCCCATATGACTCAATGAATGTAATTCTTCAAATATATTGAAAATGTATTTCCTCTTGTGCATCAATTTTTTACGAAAATCACCTGGTAATTTAGTTAGAGTTAAATTACGACGATCAGGATCATTAAGGTAATCTTCTAATTCTGGTATAACATAATTGATGAAAACAATTTTAACAAATATGGATAACGGAATCCTCGGGATAATATCACCTAATGTACACCAACCTAAAAATCAAAGATGAGAATACAAATTATAATAAATTAGTTATAGACATGAGCTAACAACAGTTAATTAATGATTACCATGAGAACCGAGAATTAATTTAGGAATAAATTCTCGCCAATCTTTATAATTTCCTTGTTTTCCAACACACATCACATGGAACAGGAATTTATATAATGTCATCAATTTTTTCATCTTCGGCTCGTAACCATAACGTTTGGCAATCGACGGTTTATATTTCAACTCACAATCAAATGATTCATGAGAATCATTTCTAATTGTTGAACTTCTCGTCTTTTTATTAACTCGATTAACGTAAGAATCGTCACCAGTGGCACCAAAAAATCTGAACTTATTGGTCTCAATTCGATCTCGTACCAATGGACTATTGGCCGTGATACTTGGATCGCAAACAATTTCCAACTTGTGCTCTCTGTCTTGACAAGTTAAAAGCGTTTTAATGTACCTAACGTAACCATTTACGGCCAATTTATTGATAATTGTTTTGATTGATTTTCTATCGATGGTGTAAGGTGAATCTTTCTCTGCAGCACTGATCAGCTTTTTAAAGGTTATCAATTCGTCGAAAATTTTGTTCTTCCTCAAAGCTTCCAAGATTATTTTCGCTCTCTTCATAAAGGTTAGTGTCTCATTGGAACTAAATTCAAGAGAAATTCCTTCCAGTTCGTCAAGATTTTTTTTACTTTGTTCTACTCGATGAATTGATTGATACTTTTTAATCTTCTGTTTACCATGATCGGTCATCATGGTGGTCACTTCACCATTTCGCTCTAAAACTCTTGATAATTGTCGTATTTCCAGTTTAGGTAAACGTAAAGTTTCACCTAATTCACGAAGACTAATTCCATCCGGATTTGTACAATTGTCAATTGTTTCCAGTGCTTGGGTTGTTAATTGTCGATCAACTCGAAGTCTCTTTGGGTCGAAAGATTTAGCAAACATGGCAAAATTTCGTATCTTTTTCAATGAATAACCTTCAATCTCATTATCTCCATCTTCACCATCTTCGTCACCATCATTGTCATCATCTGATTCAGCATCAGGTTCCAAAATTTTCACCAATTTTACTTTTCGTCGGATAACCTTTTACCGGCATCAGTTTCGTCGTTATATTCATGGACTGAGAAATATTTTGTATAATTTGAGAACATGGCTTTGTACAGTTTCTTCTTGATTCCAACTTTTTCTTGCAGTTCGTAAAAATCAAATGAATAATCGGGCTCTTTTAGTAGAAAATCATTAATCTTAAGAGCAGCGATTGCCAAAGGCATTAACCGGATAAAATGAAATCTTGGTAAAGTTAAAACTAAACCGATTCTATTTTGTCCAGTTTGTCTCATCGAAATGATGTGTTGTTGTTTCTTGATTAATCCTCGTCGAAGTAAAATTTTCCGATAATAGAATAATGTTTTAGGCGATTCACGATATTTTGATGCTTCTTTACCAACAGTTACTTCACCATATTTTCGAGCTCGACCAATTTTCTCAAGAACACAATATTGCATCGGTGTTAAAGGTAGACAAGGATCAAAACAAGGTATCCTCAGGGAAAACTCTCGAAGTTTCTGACTAGCAACAATAACCAATTTTCCTCCATATTTGGTGGAAATTTCCTTGAGAGAAAAGTTTTTTTCTGCAAGAAAAGAAAAGAAAAGAAAACCAAATGTAAATCTTAATATCGCCATTCGTTTTGTGTACACAGATTTTCAATTGAGAGAGGTATTTACCTAGAATAGTTTTGGTGACATCGACTCTGGTTTCAAATGTTGTACACGAGCCACGGACAGTTCCATCGCTAATTGGTGTCACAGTGCCATAAACATCTTCGGGAACATCATCATTTTCAATACAAGCACCTGTATCTGAATTAACGTAATCGTATCGATTGTAGAGTTGAATTGTTGGTCGAGGTTGTGGAAGGCGAAACAGTTGTACATCTTTAATGGCTGCTTTTGGTACAATTATACGAAACCAAATGAATTGTCTAACATTCTCATCATCAGGATTAAGTGAAAATTTTGTATCAGATAAACGAACCCATAAACTGGATAGAGTTATGCCTTCTAATCCTTCCAAGGCAACCTCATCCAAAACAGTACCAACCAGGTCCATTTCTAAAAACAGAACAAAGAAAATAACTATTAAACGAGATTAAAATTGAAGCAAATTCTTTGTATTAAATTGTATTCATTAATTCACAAAAGAAAAACAAATTCATCCATATTTTAGCTAACAGGTTATATAGAAAAAGAAATTTAAATTTCACTTGATCAACATTTAGAAAGAAATTAAATCTAATTACCTTGTTGATTATTTGATCCTAGTAATCACCAATTAACATGCTAATCATTTAAACAAAAAACTTTAACGAATTTAAAAACAAATTAACAATTGATCAGAAAGGAATTAAAAACAAACCATGAGAATGAAATGGAAATGAATTAAAACCAAAACCCATAGAGAACATTTCATAAAGACTACACTAGATGGAGACACTTTCCATTCTTTTTCGAAACATTTTAATCACAATTACGATTCACGATTTTGATGCAAACATTGAGAAAGAACCTGATGTGCTAAAGAGACATAGAGACTCCCATTCGAGAGAGAAATTAAAAGTAATCGTACGTCCACAGAAATGACCTAGTCTGCGACATACGATCGTATGGTGACCATGAACGCATTCGTATTAGTAAATTAGTACGTATCTTGACCAATGCTGGACTACAAATTGTTAATATTAATAATACATCAGCTTTAGATCCAATCTCATGTTCACAATTTGATTTCCCTGAAAAAGTTGATCCAACAAACGAAACTGATGTTCAACAAGCGATAACTCAGCTGATCCAAAGTGGCCTTAAATTACAGGAAGAAAAGCTCAAACAGCTCGAAAATACAGTCACCAATATTCAAGAAAATTATTTCCACAACAAGTTTAGAAAACACAATCAACTAAATGTCAAACCCTTCAGAAAAATATAAACCTACTAATCTAATAAACAATTTATTAATGAACTTTGAAATTGAACGAACTGATCGATAATTGATGCAACTTGTTTCTATTAATCTGATTTATTTTTTTTCTAAGTAAATAAATTGTTTAAAATTAACTCAAATTCTAATCTCCGAAGGTCCAAATAATTGACAAATTATACTTTTCTTGGAAAAAAAGATTTAAATTATTTCAATGCTTATAACTTTCGTTGATGGTTACTGAGCATATTTTAATTGTGATAAAATAGTGATTGAAAATTGTTTTACATTTTTACAGAAATAAGATGATTACAATGATAGAATTGTGATGGAAAAGAAATGAGGTTTAATTGATGATTTTTTAAAGTTTTTCGATCCACAAAATGGATTATTTGAGAAGATAACATAGACTTTTAGTTGATCCTGGTTTAATTTTTTTTAATCTCGATACGCTTGCATCCACATTCGATTTTGTTGATAAAATATCCACAAGTTTCTTGTCTCGAAGGAGAAAATCTTGTACTGTTCTCGACTTGTTGGTTAATTTTTGTTGGAAGTGAAGAAAGCGTCAAATTAATCTTTGAATCGATATTTGAATTAGTTGCATTGGTTATCGTATTCTTTAGTTTGAAAACTGGCACACATTTAGCTTCGTATTCGCCATCCTCATCACCTGAATTTTCATCATCTGATGATGAATCTCTCGCATCATCAAGCCAAGTTGAAGCAGCAGTTTTCCATTTGAATCTCTTAACTCTTTTTTGGTCATAGTGTACATCGCCACCTTCCAAATATTTTTCTTGTAATTGTAATAAAAGTCTTTTATCATCTCTCAATAGTTCTTTTTGATAAGATGCAGCAACGTCTTTCCTTAAATTTTCGTAATCAAGAGCATCAGCTTTCTCATCAATCAGCTCTTTAAGCATTTCGTCTTCTTCTTCCTCTTCATCTGAGCTATCAGAACCTGAAACTTCAGCTTCATTGAAGAAGAAATCTCTTGGTTTAACGATTTCTTCATCATCTGAATCATCACCATCGATCATTTCTACCTGTTCTATTTCGGGTTCTTCTGTTTTATTACTTTCTATTGATGATCGAGCGACACTAGAATGTTTGGAATTGTCACCATCTTCTCCAGCCAAAATTCTTAAAGCCATGGCTTTTTCATCTTCACCCTCATCCGAATCATAAATTCGAACACGTTTACGTTTTTTACTTTTTTCTTTTTTAGACTTTCTTTTTACCTCTTCCATAAAGATGGCTTCATCTTCTGAATCATCTTCTTTTCCTCGAGGTTTTTCATCTTCCGATGGAATCTTTTCTTCCGAAGATGATGGAGGTGAGACTGGACTTGGATCGAATTCCATTTCTTCCTCTTTTACACTTACAGGTGATTTCTCTTCTTCCTCCTCCTCAGAGAAAGGATCGGGTGTAGATTCCATGGAGAATCCTGAATCACCCGATGAATTGGTTTTTTCGCTCTTCGGAATTTTAGATCCAAAACCAGATAATTTACTTTGCTTTTTGTTACCATTACCACGTCGATTTGTTGTTCGCTTTGAGCTTTTGGTCTCTTTCTTAGTTTCGGTTTTATTTTCTTTTTCCTTTTCCTTTTCTTTTTTCTCTGTTTTCACTTCTGCTTTAACATCACCATTAGAACCATTGACTGTAACACCAGAGACCAAATTCAATCGTTCCAAACGATCTGGACGAAGTTGAATATTATCATTAACAATATAAGTTAACCTATGAAAAGAAATAGAAAAAATTATATTTGATGAGACTAAAGAAAAAACGAAAAGAAAAACACAAAATCTTACCTTTGATTCTCAAGGAGACTGGACGCCTTTGAATGGATAAAAGTTGGACCAACACGAGACATTCTGAAAGAAAACAAATATTTACACAAGACTGAATAAGAATCACGAGAATCTATGAATGATTAGCACTGAGCGAGCGCTACTTTTAATCGGCTCGAAAAAGATTAGAAACTAGTTAACTATTACAAATTGAACAAGAATAAAAGTAAAAGTAGAATAAGAATTTACATGAATGATTGAAACTAATCAGAGAGAGAAAAGCAACAAGTGCCAAGTGAATTGAGTCTGAATAACAATCAAGTTTAATTCCCATAACACATTCCGTTTTCGTCTTTTTCTTCGGGTTGATTTTTGTTACATCGATTCAATTGATCATCTATAAAGATCGAATAGACTTTTAGTTGATCCTGGTTTAATTCGTTTTAATCCCAATACTTTTTTATCCACATTCGATTTTGTTGATAAAATATCCACAAGTTTCTTGTCTCGAACGAGAAAATCTTTGATTGTGCTTGACTTGTTGGTCGATTTTTTTGTTGGAATCAAAGGAAGCTTCAAATTGATCTTGGGTTCAATATTGGAATTAGTTGAATTGTTGATCGTATTCTTCAGTTTGAATACTGGAATATTTTCAGCTTCATCGTCTTCGTCATCCTCATCATCTGCATTTTCATCATCTGATGATGAATCTCTCGCATCATCAAGCCAAGTTGAATCTGCAGTTTTCCATTTGAATCTCTTAGCTCTTTTTTGGTCAGAATGCAAGTCACCATCTTCCAAATATCGTTCTTGTAATTGTAATAAAAGTCTTTTATCATCTCTCAATAATTCTTTTTGATAAGTTGTAGCAACATCTTTTCTCAGATCTTCGGAGTCAAGAGCATCAGCTTTCTCATCAATCAGCTCTTTCATCATTTCGTCTTCTTCTTCCTCGTCATCTGAGCTGTCAGAACCTGAAACTTCAGCTTCATTGAAGAAGAAATCTCTTGGTTTAACGATTTCGATTTCTTCATCATCTGAATCATCACCATCGATCATTTCTACCTCTTCTACTTCGTCTTCATCGTCTCCTTTTTCTTCTGCTTCTTCTTCTTCCTCCTCGACTTCTTCGTCTTCGTCTTCTAATTTTTCTTCATCTTCATCAGCTTCGTTTTTTTCTGCTTGAGCATCGTCTATTGGAGATTCTTTTTCGTCAATTTCTTCCTTCTCATCTTTAATTTCATCTTCATCATTGATTTTGGAGTAATCTTCTTCATCGGAGCTTTCCTCCGATATTGTTTCCAGAATTCTTTTTCTCTTTGGTTTCACAATTGTTTCCTCTTCGGGTTCCTCTGATTTAACACTTTCTGAAGATGATTGGGTGGCATCAGAATGATTTGAATCATCATCATATTTTTCATCTTTGTAATCAGCTTTACATTCGTCATCTTTTGATTCTATTTTTCGATTATTTTTCTCCCATTTCTTGTCTTCTTTTTCCTCATCTTTTACTTCTTTATCATTATGGTCTTCTTCAGCTTCGTCAAGAAAGAAGTTTTCAGGCTTATCAGTTTCTTCTTCTTCATCTTCTTCGTCCGCTTCCTCGAGTTCATCTTCATCTTCATATTCCTCTTCTTCTTCTTCTTCATCCTCATCATCTCCATCTTGGTCATTTGTTTCTTTTTCTTCGTCTTCTATTTCAACTCCTTCAAGTTCATCTATCAATATCTCTTCTTGCTCCTTTTTGAGAACCAATTCTTCTTCCTCGTCTCTTTCTTCTCCATAGAATAGCTTTTTAGACTCATAATGAATGAATCTTTCTCTACGATTTTCATTCATGGAGTTGAACAGTTTCTCTTTGAGCGAGAAAAAATTACGAGTCACAACTGGCGGGCTTGTTGTTATTGTGGGAACAGATTTTAAAACTTTTTGATACAAATTAAATTCTAAATCAGATTTATATCGTTTAAGAGACAATGGTTGTGGAGCATTTTTAAAATCTTCAAAGTTTCTATAATGATCAAAGAAAAAGAAAAAGAAAACAAAACAAGAGAAGATAAAAAAATTAATAAGATTTTCACTCAAAAGACCAAAACAAACACAAACAATGAACAGAATAAAACACAAAAATAAATAAACTTTACCTTTTCATCTTGGCAACTTTTCCTAGAGCAAATTGAGTCTCGAGATGAAAGAAAAAATTAAAAATTAACAACAAAATTAAAAACAATAATCAAAATTACACCAAACAATTAAAAAATTAAAATGTAGTCAAAAAGATGAACAAGAAACTCAAAATAAAAAGCGAGGTAAACATTAGATTGGCGCCAAAATAATCGCCGCCTGGTGAGTCACAATTCCATCTCCATGGTAACAAAATTACGCGCTTTTTTCGAAGAATAAAAATAAATAAACTTCAAAAATAATCTTAATTGTTATAATATTTCCTCTTTCTTTTTATTTCCTACCACTTTCAGAGAGTAAAGTTCAACGCACTATTTAACCTGAACAGGTCAATATACGATGTATAGAATAATTCAAATGATTTCTTTTCATTTCCTCCAAGTTTCTCATAAAAATCCATTGATAATTCAACGGGAATTACATTAAGCTTGAATAGACTCACAGGTAACAATTAGATTTGATAGATTGTACAAATTTAAGTGATAGATGGGAGAGAGAGAGAGAGAGAGAGAGAGAGAGAGAGATGAACTCGTTTGACAAACCCATCAATATGTGTATCGTAGTCTTGGTTAACGGTAAAAAAGATCGATCGACAAAAAGAATAACAAAAAAAAGTGACAACAATCAAGAAGCAAAATTAATTCTCAAACCATTGTAATCGTCATGTCATAATCGTCGTCGTCGTCGTCACTTTGATTATCATTATCATAATCTAATCATCTAATCCATCTTCATGGTCTTGATCAACAATCGAAAAGAAAATAATTTTTTCTCAAAAAAAGAAAATCAAATTGACTTTTAATTCTCGTTAATCAAATTGTCAGATCAACAGAATAATAAGAACAAAAAAATGGATGATTGATTTAGGTAATCTTAAGATCGTAAATCTGATTAGATGTAAATTGTTATGCGAGATAAATATATAAATAATGATATCAAAATTAGGAATCAAGTGTTTTACAATCAATGGATTAAACAATTAGAGTTAATTGTGAATGAATTTACAAACAGGTATGAAAAGATTGGGAAAAGTGAAAATACTTATTGTTAACCCTGAGCAAGTGATGCGATTACAATTAACCATGTTAATTGTTATCCGGTTTTAAAATTGGACAAAATGGTTCACTAATTAGGGTTTAATTGTTTGAGTAATGGAGAGAGAAACAAAAACCTTGTCGCTTTCCTTAACTTAATTTACTTTCCAATTGACTGAATTAAATCATGATTATTTGAAACGTTAAATTGTTGAAAGAAAAAAAAACAAGAAACAAAAAGTTGATCATGAAATTAGAAATCAATGTTTCTAATCTTGTTCAATTTTCCCCAACAAAATTAACTGTTTTTTGATTATTGATTACGATTAAAAGTTATTAATACAAATCACATTTAAGATGAACAATTTTGATATGTTAATTGTGATTTATAGTAATAACAATTAAGAAGATTATTAATCAATAAACAAAAAGAAGACAAGAAATTTGGAAAATGTTTTTTCTTCCATTACTCTTATTGTTGGTTCTGGTGTGTTTAGTTGAATCAGTGAAACAATTATGATCAATTGTGATCAATGATTGCTAATAACAATTTATAATCCAAATAAATTATTGGTGAACAATCAATTCAGTGATTCTTAGATTTTGATTGTATTGTAACAATTTTCTGTCCTCCTTTGTATCCATAGTGTTTTCTTTGCCACTCCATTGCCGATGATACCTCTTTTAACCAACGACTGTTGGTTAATCAACAACAATTTAGTGAATTTTTGTTAATTGTTAACCATAAATTGTTTTCATCAAGCTAATATCATCTTGCCATCTAATAGAAAAGTGAAATAAACAAAAATAAAATAACATGAAGATCATCATAATACAAATTGTGTCAATCATATTGACAAAGTTACTCCTTCCGGTGATGGGTAAGTGTTTGGACACAAACTTGATTTAATTAAGAAAGATTGAACTAATTATTGATCACTTTCATCATCATGATTGATAGTAAATTAAGGTTACTAATAGTTAATCTGATAACAAAAAAAAATGACCTAATTAACTGATTAAAACATTTTCATTTCGGCAATATTGTAATTTAAAAGGTGGACCATCAACAGAACAGCGTAAAAATAATAATCCTGAAGTTTGGTCATTCAATCTTCCCGATTTACCTGGACAATTAGGAGCAATTAATACAAATAATCAAAATTTCATCAATAAAAGACAAGATGATGATGAAGATGATCCATCTTTTCGAGATGCAGTAACAACCTATGGTCGAAATAGGTGGAACAATTTTCGCAACAGTTTCGTTGAATTTTGGGACATTGTCCGAGCGGGTGGACGAGGGATTCGTGGTTGGTTTGTCTCTGATAATGATTAATTCAATTCCAATGATCACCGATAATTCTTAAAGTAAAAAGTGACCATCAGGAGAAAACAATATCAAATCAAGTAACTTTTACAATCTCCATCTCAAGTTGTTCATATGCTAATCACTTTAATAACATATTCAAATAAACGCCAATCATTTGTTTTTTTTTAAATGTCCTAATTGTGAGAATCAATTGTTTTGATGAGTTTGTCGAGTTTGTGAAGATCTGTAAAGAAAAACAAAAGAATACAAATGTTCATTTCTTTCATTTAAATAGTAAAGTAATTAATTTGCTAAAATAAGAGATTAGATTTTTAATCTATCAACAATTAAGCTTGTGAATTAGTTTAGTGAGAAAGGGAATAACTTAATTTTAGAAATTGTTGTTAGTAAATTGTTATCAATGTCATTTGGATAAAGAATCGCTGTTTGTAAGTTTGGTTTTGGGAACCAATTGTCACTTTAAAAACCAAAGGAAAAGCAACTTGATTTACTAAACATGATAGGTTAACAATTAAGGTTATTTAAAGTAATGATGACAATCATAAGGATGAAGGTTAAAGGTAAGATAAACACAAAGGTAACCATAGATTTTGATCCATTTCTTGCTTTCTTATTTATTCCCTTATTGAAGTTGGTTGTTCTCTCGTATCGAGTGATTGACCCACTCAACTTAAATAGTAGATACAAAGAAGGAGAAGAAGAAGAAGAAGAAGAAGATGAGGGAGCTGATGATGAGGATGATGCGAAGGAAGCAAAAAGAGGCAAAATAAGAAAACGAAGTAAGACAGATGGGGAAAGAGAGAAAGAAAGGAAGAAAGGAAGAAAGAAAGAGATAGAGAGAAAGATCGTCACATAGAGTAAGAGAGATTCTGTGAGGTAGACAGATGGAAAGAGGAAGAGAGAGAGAGAAGATGCCGATGAAGGAGCGAGCGAGAGAGAGTAGAACATCGTGGAAAGCAGACAGATGGAAATCATGGATGGAAATTGACAGATGTCGAAATAAAGGCCTAAGGAAAGGAAACGAACCTAAGAAAGAACAAGAGAGAGAGAGAAAAAGTGAAACAGCGGAAGAAACAGACTTGCAAATGATAGAGACTATGGTGATCAGAGAGAGAGAGAGAGAAAGAGAGAAAGAGAGAGAAGAGAAAAAGAGAGATGATTATGTAGTAGCCCCCGTTTAATGATCTCGAGGAAAATGGTCTCAGACGTTATGTTGAGTTTTCGGACTTGACATCCAATTCGTATTGAGTTATTTTCTTCTCTTCATTGGGTTTCTTTTGTTTCTTCATTAGTCAAAACCCGAATTTGTTCAAATCTCTCCTTTTCTAATTATTTTCTTAGTAATTTTAAGTTAATTAAAAGTTAATCTAAAGCCTTATTTAAATTTGTTTTGTTTACTTACATTGAAATTTTGATACCAGTTTACAATCGGATTAATTTTGGGTTGTTGTGATCACTTTTTGTTTACGGAGATTACACAGGTTAACGGTTAATCATTAAAACTCATCATCATCAAGAGGATAGAATTATTTTCCACCATCATCTTCATCATAAAGTTGCCTTAATCACGGTGTTAATCATCTTTGGCTTATGTTCCATCACTGTTATAAAATAACCTCAAACCAATAATAAGCAGTGAAATTGTTTAGACACATTTGTCTATCTTTCCAACTTTCCATTATCATAATCAATATTCAGCGGACTCTTGAATCGATGAAACGAACAAGGAATCGTGGTAACAGCGGTTCGACGGCCTGTAAACAAGTTTGTAAGAAAAAGTGAGTAAATCAAACAACAACAAAAAAAAGAGAATCAACAGATTAAGAAAATCAACTCTTTCTCAAATTCAAATCCATAGAGAAAAAAAAACAAAGAAAGACAAACACAAACCAACAAACCACAAACACTTATACTCACAATCATCAAGCAATGAAACCAACACAGAAAAACAAAACCTAATCAGGTCCTAATCAACAAATCAAAAAGAAATAGAATAAAAAAAAATCCAATTCCAAATAGCCAATAATCCAAAGACAATTAAAGACAATATGAAGCCGAAAATCAAGTCAATCTAATCAACCAGAGAAAATACATAAAAGATGATTAGTAACTTTCCATGACAGAGAAAAACAACAAAATAACTTACAAATTAGAATTAGAATCGCTTCTCAAATCAATTATCCACCAAATAGAAAATTAAACAGAAAGAATTAGTTAAATTAATCTCTAATTAAAAAAGAAAACAATCTACAATTAAATGAACATAGAAGAGAAAAAGCCAACGAAAAAAGAGAAAAGAAAATCGGTGAGTTGCAATAAAGAACAAGAGGTGGCGCTGGAGAAAAGAAAGAAAATTAAAGGGAGAGAAAGAGAAGAGAAAGAGCCAAAAGGTTGGTGACATTAAAAAGAGTAAAGATAAAGAAAGAGGAAGAATAGTAAACTTTTAGTTAGCGTTTTGTATTTAACTTTTTTTATTCAGTTAATTTTGTTTTTCTATTCTATTAAATATTCTCATTTACAATTAACTGTGATATTAATTGTCTATCAAGTGTATTAATCTGTGATCATCAAAAATTCTATCACCATCTTTGCTGTGTGTTGATTGTTCTTTCTTCTTCTTCACTGGTGCCTATTTGTTTTCTATTCTCTTTTTTTTTCTTCTCTTGGTGTTGTAAAGAAAGACACTTTTTCACGAAGACAATTTAGAGTTCAATCAATTTTTTTCTCTTCTATTTCATCTTTGTGATTGTTTTCCTCTTCTTCTCCTCTGTAAATGGATTAATTTAAAGCCAAGGTGAATAATAGTTACTTCGATATTAATTTACTTTAGAGAAAAGTTAATATCCTACTCTATTCTTTTCTTTTCTCTCAATCGTTTTCTTCTCTCATTTTGGTTTACTTTTTTTTGGGTTGTGTTGACCCGTGGGTTGTGTCTCTTTCTTTCTTTCTTTCTGTTTATCTTTCTTTCTTTTTTCTCCTCTATTTTTGTGTATGATAATTTGCAACTTAACACGTAACTGTTTATATATCTGGTTCCAGAGGCTGGGTGGCTTACCGTCAAATCCAAAGTAATCTGATCTATTGTGGTTATCATTGGTTAATGGGTCAGAAAACCTCTTCTTTGCATAAAAGCTGCTCCAATGGGGGCAACCGAGATGATCGGTCTATTCACTGTTCTCCGGGTAACTGGACCTCCACCCGTAAACACTTAAACTCTTCCGGTGGTGGACCTGGATATGGAAATGGTCTCTGTGGTACAGGTGATTGTGGTGATTCAGGTCGACCAGGTCGACTTGATGTACTTTTAGATATGCCTCCTGTTGATTATGAAGTAATGTCACAACATGCCTGGAATCCGGATGATAGGTCACTTAACATATTCATTAAAGAAGATGATGTATTCACTTTCCACCGACATCCAATGGCTCAAAGTACCGATTGTATAAGAGGTAAAATGGGTTATACCCGGGGAATGCATCTTTGGGAGATCACCTGGAATACAAGGCAAAGAGGAACCCATGCTGTGGTTGGTGTTGCCACTGCTGAAGCTCCCCTACATTCCCAAGGTTATCAGTCACTTGTTGGTTCTAATACGGAATCATGGGGTTGGGACCTTGGACGTAGTTTACTTTATCATGATTCCAAGAATAACACCACCGGACAATCATATCCTGCTTATCTGAGACCTGACGAAACTTTTAATGTTCCAGATAGTTTTCTTACCGTTTTAGACATGGATGAAGGAACACTTTCCTTTATCGTTGACAATCAATACCTTGGTGTTGCCTTTAGTGGACTAAAAGGAAAAAAATTATATCCCATCGTTAGTGCCGTTTGGGGACATTGTGAGATTACCATGAAATACCTTGGTGGACTTGATCGTAAGTGTTTTCAACCTTTTAACAAACTTTTCCTCTTTTTATCTCTTCTTCTTCCTTCCTCTTCCTTATTCCTCTCTAATTGTTCATCTTTTGTGATGTAACTCACTGACGGTGAAACTTCATTAGTTTTCAAGTTCAAAAGCTGTTCATCAACCCTTAAATTTAATCATGTTTATTTTGTTTTATGGTGACTCATCTTCTAAATATTGATAAAATTTCTTGTTGATTTTGTTTGTTGTTTTTATGAGAAATCTTTTTTATCCCATCATCATCCATAGTCAGGATGAGAACCTGTTTAAGGAAGTTACATGAATTTCCGATTGACATTCATAATCTTTTTTGTGTGTGTGTGTGTGAGAGAGAGAGAGAGTAATAGAGGGGGAGAAAGAGAAAAATAATAATGATGAGGATGACAGTAAAAACGACAATCCTAATACCAATGTCAATGATTACCACAACAAAAACAACAATTATCTTGTTGCTATAGTTGTTATGATGAGTTGGCGTTACTGATGAGGATAGTCTCATGTCAAGTTCAGATGAGAGAGAAAGAGAGAGATTGAGAAAAGAAATAAAAAAAAGAAGTTCAAATTAACTTATTCAGGTTTTACTGGAAGAAGAAGAAGAAGAAGGAAAATATCTTTAGTGAACTAGGAAGAGGAAGAGAAGATGAATAGAAAATATATAATCTCTCCCTCTCTCTTTCTCTCTCTATTATTGTTACTATTCAAGTGATTAACCCCTTGAAGAGTTCAATAATCTCTCTCTCTCTCTTTCTTTCTATCTTGTTTCTCCCTCGTTCTCTCTCATTCTTTCTCTCTTTCACATTTAATTCTTTAAGAAACGGACCAAACCATACATTAAATGAATAAAATGCCTTTAAGGCTAATCCAACAAGTTGTTCTAGATGATGAAGATGAAAAGTTCCAAAAAAAAATAGGTTACAACATCCAAAAATAAAGTTAATATATATGGTATATATAACCTGGTATTTTTATCATCTTGAAACTTGTTGAATTACCTTTAAGGATATTTTGTTTAAAATTCATTTTCAATTCAATTTAAAATTTAAAATTTTAATTCTTGTTCTTTTCACAGCTGAACCATTACCTCTTAAAGATATATGTCGACGAGTCATTAGGAAGCAGATTGGGAAACAACGTCTACATCGACTGCAAACAGAAATAACATTACCTAATACGCTTAAATCATATTTATTGTATCGAAAATCTTTTTTACTGTAAACAATTTGAACAAATCATTGAAATAATAACCACTGTCTTTGACAATTAACAAACTCCACATAATGAGAGCGAAAAAAGCAGAAAAAAATTTGTTTTTTAAGAAAAAAGAGTTAAAATCAATTCTTCTTTTTTTTCAAACCACCAAGAAGAAAACAAAACAAAAAAGAATCTATTAATCACAATTTAAGACAAACAAAAACGATTCATATTTGATTTTAGTTGTTAATTGTTGCATGTTTTTGGTAGTTAACTGGTTGATGTAGTGACATCTGATTTCAAAATGAGTTATTATCATGGTGAAAATGGTGAATAGATTTTCATAATTTAGATTATTATTATTTTAACCTAAATACGATTGTGTGCCGATCCGTTGTTGTTGTTGATGATTAACTATTATTTAGATGATTATTATTATTATTATCAGAAGAATCAAGATTATTGTTGCTTGAATTGTTGTTATTGTTACTCTTGTGATCTGATTCATTTGATTCATCATTGTTTCTGGTTCCTGCTGCCCAAGCAACAGATTTTTTAATCGTTGACCGATCAACTATTGTGCTGGAAATCATTCCTGAGGTGTTAATTAGTCCACTACCACCGCCACCTCTTGTTGTTATCCCACTGATTGTTGTTGACTCGGAATCTTTAATTGTTGAGCTATGGTAATCAGTTCTAAATGGATTATTTGAACTGTAAGAATCTGAATAATGTTGCTGATTGTTAATTGGACCTGTTGTTTGATGACCACTCAAATTGGGCAAATTACGTGTTAATGATTGTGGAGGTGAATCAGGTGTAAGTCTTTCATTTAATTGGGTTGGTGATGGACCAGGAGTTAATGAAGGTATTCCCAAAGCATCATCATTACTTGGTAATCGGTGAGATTGATGAGATTCACGGTGATGATGATGATTTTGTTGTTGTTGTTGTTGTGAGTGATGACGATGACGATGATGAGAAGGAGGCTGATGTTGTTGTTGAGATGATGAAGATTGGTAAGAATCGCGTGATGATGAGGTAACATAGGTTAATGGTGATCCAATTACAGGAATAGTTGTTGCTACTGATGAAGTGGATAAAGATGAGGAAGATAATGTTGATGATGGCGGTAGACATGATGACGTTACAACAATAGCACCAGAAGTGGACATTTTATTACTATTAATAAGATTATTGGTATCAGTAGATGTTACCGTTATCCTCCACCTTGATTAGACTGTAATTGCTTATTATCCAATATTGAATCTTCACTATTACTACGAGAGGTAGAATCTGAAAGAATAAGAAAAAAAAAGAAAATGATTAATTGTGGTAAGATAAAGGATAACAGTTATTGCAACTAAATCTAATCTAAACAATCATGTTATTGTCTAATTTTATAGACAAGTGATTAGACTTAGATCAAATTGCCAAATACAAATCATCAACTGAAAACAAAACAAATTAGCTTATCACAAACATAAATTAAGCCGACAAAAGTCAAAAAGAAAACAGAAAACAATAAATATCGCAAATCTTTTTCGCGAGTTAATGAATAATAGAATTTAAAAAATTACCTCTTCTAATTGGCCAAATTTCGATTAAAAATTTAAACACTTCAATAGGTTTTCTCAATGATTCACTTTCAGAATGAGTTGTGAACAGTGGACCAAATGATGTTGCCAATGCTGAAGAATTCATCTTATTACGTTCACAATGAGATTCGATCAATTTAAGATGATCCATAAGGAAAAGAACAGTACTCTGGATATCGAATTAAGAAGAAAAATGTATTAATCAATAAGATGGAAATTTATTATTAAATGAAAAAGAAAATATTAAATCACTTACTCTATTTATCTTTGGTAAACACTCTAATATGCTAAACATTAACTTGGCATTGCCTGGGGGATCATCGGGAAGGCAAACACTTAGTCCATCGACCATCATATCGAAAAGAGCCTTTGTGAATAAAGGCTCAGGTAATTCACGAATGTAATCTTTAAGTAAACCTGGTTAACAATTAAAACAATTAGAATTTAAATTAACATGGAAAACAGATTGTTCTTTGTTGGAATTGATTCTCATTTCTATGGAAAAAGGGGTCGATTAAAAAATGAAAGAATTTAAAAAGAGAGGGAAATTTAAATAATTAAATTTCTCCTCATTCGATTTAAATTTTTTTCGACTGATCTTGATACACGATTTTCGTTGATCTTTGATTGGATTCATTATTTGATTAGTTGTGATAATTAACAATCAATTTAAATAAACGGGTTAATCTGGTTGGTTTGATTTGCTTTTTGTTTTGATTTGCTAATATTGCTCACAATTTATTCCTGGTACACAAAATTTCAATTTGATTTATAACATAAATGATTAATCATTGAGAGAGAGAGAGAGAGAGAGAGATAGAGATATTGATTGATAAATAACGATAATTTTATCGAGAGAGAAAGAGATAGAGAGATATAACAGAGTAGAAAAGAGAGATTGAAAGATATTTGAGTGGGAAAAGATAAGAGTGACTTTAAGAATAGGGAATGAAGTCTATTCTTAGAAAAAAATAATTTTTTGGAAATTGATTGCAAAAATCCAATGAAAACTCTATAAAAAAATTAAATCCCTTGAATCAAAAAATAGAATTTGGTCTTTAAATGGCCGCAGTTGCAGTGTCCATGATTTTCTTTTTCCAAATATTTGAATTTACTTGTTTCGGCGTTTTCTTGCTAAAGTGCGATGATTTCTCATCGTTTCATTGCTATGTAAGAAATTCCAACATGGCTCACAGAAGTAGTGAGAACATGTTCGACAAAAAAGTGGTGCTGGTGATGTTGAACATAGAGAACAGGCGAGATTTTCCAAATAAGGATCACATTGAAGCTAAAAGAGAAAAAGAAATTATCATTAATATTTAATTTAATTTTAAAATCGTGAGGTTAATGAATACTTACTCTTTTCGTGACTCGACCCATTTCTACATCAATGAAAGCAGCTTCAACTGCTTTCATGTGACTTAGTTCGTCGCTGAATGAAATACGACCTGAACCTATTGGGTATTTATGTTTGTCAACATCAATTCCACAATAAATGACATTACCAAAAAGCTCATCCATGATTTTGGCTAAGGCTTCAGCAGTCATCATACCATGTAAATTACCAACGAAAACTGTCTTATTAAATTCAACTTTAAAATTTGAGTCTTTGGTATAATTGCTATTAGCCAGAGCCCATGGAATAACCTGAACATCCTTGTCAGGCATTCGTCGGGAAGGTAATTTGATGTAATATTTTCCCCTTCGTACTTCACATCGAGCCAATAAAGATTTGACACATTTTTCTGAATCAAAGATCATATAATTATAACCTTTTTTCTTTTGTTTGGTTTTGGAATTTTCTTTGGGCCATTCAACTTCAACACGACCAAATGCTGAGAAGAATTGGATCAATTCCTCGTCCGTTAGATCATAGGGCGTACCACCAAGGAAAACTTTGGTCGAGTAACTGGGGTTTTTTATGTCCGTGCTGGATATATTTCCACTCCATTTAAGAGTAGCCTCTGAGTATGAAGCTGCAGTCCTTTGGAGCTCAATAGCTTTATCTAAATAGTCTCGCTGAGACCCAAATTTAGCATACATCCAACGTTTGTCACTACCAAGTGATGTTAACATGAATGGATCAGGAAAAGAGGCTGTACGACTTAGTCCAGGTGGATATGAGGGCATAACCAAAGAATTGGAATGAGGCATTGAGAACACCGAAGAAGCAGCATTTGGTAATCGGGAAGAAGCCTTGACTTGAGCTCGACAAACCTCGTTGATGGAAGAGGCCAAATTAATTTGGGACATAAGTTGTGAAACATATTCATCAGAAACCAATGATCCAATTGCGATACCAGAATCAGAATTAGTTGGAGAGGTTGGTGATTCTCGACTATCACGTCCAGAGCTGTTTGAATTGTTCAACCTTGAGAAGGATGACTCAAATGAGGCTGCTGCAGGTTCATTAACGGGAAAAAGTCGACTAGAAGAGTTTGAACTAATGCTGGTATTTGTTTGATTTGAATTGGAAGCTCTGATAGCACGGATACCACTTCTTGGTGGCACTTGTCCAAAGTTGTCACAGGTACGGTTTAGACTGGCAGAAAGGAGACTTCCATAGCTTCCGCATAAGTCCAACAATTTACCATCCCCTGGAAAGCTAAAGGATGAACGTTGATTAATACGTGAGCTCTCATCTCGACTATCCACTGGAATAGGAGTAGAACTGGTGTTCACTTGGTTAGTCCATTCACGGTAAGGCCAATCTGAAGAGCCACGACCACTATTGTCACTACTTCCAGAAGATGTCATGTCAGCAGCAGCATTAGTTCGAGGCCAATAGTTGTCCCACATCAGGTTATTAGAATTGCCATCTTTATCAACTCCACTGTTTGTACAATTATTAGAATGCCCATTGTTACTGCCACTAATACCATTATTTGAACCATGGGAAAGACTACTTATATCACCAAGACCATTACTTAGGTTACTCATGTTCCCACAACTCGATTCAAAGGTATTTGATCGACTGGACGGACTAGAATTGGATTCACTACTAGAAGAGTTGGAAGTTGAAGTTGGAGTGAAAAATCGTCCACCATGGTCAATATTTTCCGTCATTGAAGGTCTCAGACTGGCAGGGAACAATTCAGCTCCCAGACTGGTTTCCCAGCCGAGTAAATCGAACTTCCACTTGGAATCAATTTTGATCGATTAAATTTTTCGACAAAAAAAAATCAAATACAATTCACAGAGAGATAGAATGTGAAAACTAAAAAAAAGAGGATTGACAGGGAAACAGAATTTCAAATCTGGAGAATTGAGAGAGAAAATCAAATAACAGTAGCAATGGGAATCTTAAAACCACTGGAGAAAACTAATGATTATAAACAATCTTTTGCTGAACTGATTTAACAAAAGGGTTAGAAATGAATGTGATAATTAACAAATTAAAGAATAAATTAATCCAATCAACGAGAAGATGTTAATTGTCAATATAAGAGAGAGATAGAGAAGAGAGAGAGAGAGAGATTGATTTACACAGAAAAAGGGATTAAAGAAGATGGAGAAAATCACATCGTATTAATGTTCACATGGGAGATTCACAATTTAATAAGAACATAAATGGACAGAGTGAGAGAGAGAAAGAGATGGAAATAGAAAAAAAAGATAGAAAATTAAAGTTAATAAATTAAGAATAAATTAAAGGAAAAAATTAAGGGTTAAAGTTGAGATAAAGTCGAGAAAATAAAATTAAAGAATAAACAAGAAGTTCTTTTCTCCACTTACAATGGAACATTAAATATTCCAAAGTTTCATTCTCTTCTTTTTTCTCTCTTATTCTAAATTCGACTCACTCAATTTTTCTCTTTCTTTATTCTCTTTCTTTTTTATTCTCTTTTACTCCCTCATTCTCACTAATTCTTTTCTTCTTGTCACTAAGCTCGTTTTTCCAATAAGAACGTTATTTCCTCTGGAGACTCAAAGTCTTAAACTGATTACAAAGTTAAACAAATTAAATTTTAATCTGTTCATTTTTTGCTCTTCTTAACCACTAATTGTTAACCAATTAATCAGTTTTAATCATGTTTAGTGTTTCTATTGATTAAAGTGTCTTGTTTTATCTGTTTCATTTTCTCACTTTAATAGATTAATTTACCTGCGGTGTTTTCTCATTTGTGGTCAATCTTTTTTTTTTTATCATTGCTCTTGGTCAGTTTGATTATAAGAACAAAGATAAATTGTTACATAAAGAAAAGATATAGAGAAAATGTTATCTCTTTTCTATGTATTTGTCTTGTGTGTGTGTATGTGTTACCTTCAATTTGTTTTCTCTCATCATCTTATTTTTGTTTTATCAATTCTACTGATTATTTCATGTATTCATATCTATTTCCTCTCATGGGAACATGATCACATTCTGACAAGATAAAGAGTTTTTTGACCGGATATGATTATGTATCAACGAAGTGTGATTGGTGATACATTCTCAAACTGTGAATCAATCTCTTATGTCTTATTGATAACGTGTAAACCAATTAGACAGATTGATTCGTTAATTTGTTCATCTCTCTCTAATTATCCATTGTTCTCATAATCTTTTTACCTGTTTCTCTATCTTGTTTTTTTCTTCTTCTTCCTCTAACCTTTCTATTAGATATGGATTATTTTATCTCATTACCTTTTAATCTGGTAAAAGATTGAAAGAAAAAGCAATAAGAACCAATTGGATGATTGGAAATTGGAAAGATGAACCTTGGTACATTCAAATATCATCAACTGTTTTTTTTTGTCTTTTTTTCATTGAAAAGAATGACAAAAACAAAAGGATAACTATGGAATTAACTTTGGTTAACTCATTGGATGAGATAATTTCCCATGAATCTGGTCAAAATTATCATCTCTACAAGATTGGAGCAAATGCTTAACAAACAATTCTCCAATGTGTATAAAGTTCAGTTGAACTTGATCCCTTTTATTCATCATCATCAATGTATTTTTGATGATGGGCTTTGGTTGTAAATATCAAGTGTATCAAGAGTAGCCAGAGTTTTTACTTTGATTCATAGCTCACATTAAGAGTTTTTAGTTTCCCATAAGCATGTCGTAGTATTCAACTGAATACTTATGGAGAAAACGATGAAGAAAATTTATCATTTACGTGATTTGTTTTTATGATGCTTATAATCACAACAAAACTAACGTAAATTTATTCATACACATTTCATATGAACCATCAATTAATCTACTTTTTTTTTGATTAATTTAGGTAACCCAAGGGTTAATTAGAAATCGAGATACAATTACCAACAAGAAGATACCAAAATATATAAGAAAAGCAGAGAGCAGATAAAAATTGATTCCCACTTACTTGTGATAACATTGATGTCAGGCACATGTTCAGCGGACAAATCAACAAGCCATGAATTTTTCTCAAAAGATTCACGAAGTAACTTTTTTCGTACAGCTGATCCACACAGACGATAGATTCCAACAAGATTAAGACCTCGTTTCTCTACTTCTTGGGTGCATCGTTTAACTATTAATGGAATCGATAGACCAGAATTTTCCCGGTTAACTAAAGTTTCCATTCCTAGGCCAAAAACAGCATTAGCTGGAGCGATTGTTGGACTAAGAGGAGTTCGCTGGTATGAAATACTTATATCTTTATAACGAATTTTAATATATAAAGTTCCCTTTGGTTCCATTTTAAGTGCAAGACTGTGAACAGGAGTTTCAACCAAAGAGAGACCAATTAAATTGATTGATCCCTTGTAGCACAATTTATGACGATATTGAGGATCCCAACTGTATAAAAGGAATGAAATCTCTTTGTTTTCAACTAAATCAAGTTCAAATATTTCATCCCAATCGAAGCTACTCTCACCACTTCGAACTACTGTTCTAGCCTTGTGGACACGATCACATTCAATAACACAATATAAGTCACGATGATTGGTTGGAACATTTCCTGATCTTAATCCACGACCAGCAAGTAAATGTATCCAAAGAATACCATTGAAACCGGAAGGTTGTTTAGTTGTCACTTCTTTACCTGGTTCACCTGATACCTCACTTGTTCCTCGGCCTGTTGTGTTTGTTGTTACTCCTGTTGTTGTATTACCAGTTGATGGAGATGTTTCACCTTCCGGTGGAGGTTTTTCATAACGATATTTGAAAAATTCCCGAGGATTTAAGGTTAATAGGTGAAGTCTTTCTTCCTCCGATGGTTTCACCGGTGTTGGATGTGGAATTGATCTAAGATGGTCTCCAGTTAATGACGATTGAATTAATCCAGTTGCTGTTGATACACTTGATACTCCACTTGTAGGAACAATTGAACCGGAAGTTGTATTACCACTAGTTAATCCTACCGGTGGAGTTGAACCAATGGCGATTGCTGTTGCAGAAGAGATGAGAGGCCGAGGAGGAGGAGGTGGTGGTACCGGACGCAAAGAATGAGACAAACCAATGGTTGAAACAGAATCACTTGAGAGATCAGGGTTAAGAGTTGAAGGTAACTGAGTAGTTGATCGGTCAGTTCCAACTCCTGGTCGATTTGCATATATATCGGCGAGCATATTTTTCTGCTGTTCCTGACGAGGTGACCAATATTAAATTCAACAGTTGATAAAATAAGCAAATTATCAATGCAAAGAAAAACAAAAGAAAAACAATTAGAATTGATACAAATGAGCCACAAATTATAATAAATTATCAAAGGTAAGTATTATAAACACACAATCTAACCAACACACAAGTTGAGGTTACAATACATTAATCTCCTTAATTGCAATGATTAATGATCATTTTGCTAAGATCATCTAAACCCATTGACACTTATATATTAATGTTATTTCAACTATTTTCATTCTATGATAGATTGATCATTGGAGGAGCTTTTCTAATCTATGTATCATCACAATGAATAACACCAACTTGCAACCATGATGATAACATGAAGGTTCCAAAGGAATTTGGAACATGAGAAAGCTTTTTCAGTTTCCATGGTGCAAACAAATAAGAGAGTTAAATGAGTTAAGGTGATGAATTGTAAGTAACAAATACAAATTAATAGTCGAAGAAGAAGAGAAAAAAATTACTCTAATCATTATTGACTTGACTTGATTAGAGGTGAATATTTTTGTTGTTCTTCTTCCTGGTTTTATATTAAGATGAGCTTCTAACCAATTCAGTTAATCATTAACTGTTTTCCTTCATTTTGTAAACAACAATTGACTTATCCATTTGATTTATGATTTATCCTTGTCTATTTATTAGACATTTTTCTCTCATTTCTTTTTCCTTATTATTATTTTATTATTATCATTCTCTTTCTCTTTCTCTCTCTCTCTCTCTCTCCCTAGATGCTGTTAGAATGCATTTGGAATCTGAACGAATATACCCAAGAATATGAAGAAGAAATCAGATTAACAGTTTCCTTTCAAATGAATGGTAACGAATAACTAACAGATTTTTATTTCTCATTCTTTTTCTTATTCTGGAGTTATCTTCATCACCTCATCATTTTGACCAATCCAAATGTTGATCATTTCTATTGTATTATATAAGCATTTGGATGTTACATCATTCATCTTGTAATAAGATAGATTAGCTTTTCGTAAAGATTTTCTTCACCAAGACAAGCTTCTTAAAAGGTAAAATCCAAGTGAATCTTATTCTAATACAAGGATAGATAAAGATAAGAAGGAAACTTGAAGTTACAAGTCTTCAGGATTTGTTATAAGATTTTTTTCTTCTTCTTATTGACACTTGGAAAATTTACTTTTCTCAGCTGATTTGTAAAAAGTATTTGATTGTTTAGTGTGAATCTCTCATCTACTTTTTTTTCAAATGGGTTTGATAAAAAGTAACAATTACAACAAATTTAAACTAATCAGAATAATTAAATTTTCATTTATAGATTCGGTTGTATAACTTAATGAAAAAGTTTGAAGGGTGGACAGTGAGGACATTAATTATGGACGAAAACGATCAAATGTAAATTCTTACCGTTCTTATGGTGTCGAGTAAACTTTCAGCACTATGAGCTATCCTGCTGAGACTGGTTGAACTTAGACCGGAGGGAAGAGCCGTTGATCGACCTGTCGTTTGCCGTCTTATTGTCTCATAAATTGCTGATGTTGATGGAGCTCGAGGTATCCATTGTTTACACTCTTCTTGAGGGAGTCGACCACCACTCATGTGACGACGACCTTTTTAATTTAACGTATCAACAATTGCATATGAATATTTTGCAATTTACGTTGATTAGAAATTAGATTGTGATGATAATGATGATTTCCATGATGTAGGAGAGTAGAGAAAAGCGAAGAAGAAGATAAAATAACACAAAGGTGGAGAAGCAAAACAGAAGACAGGTATGGACAATAACGAAGAGGATGAAAAGAAAATTTATCACATTCACCGAATAATTTTGACAAAGTCCAGGTAAACAGATGAAATTGTCAATAATAAACAACAGAGGAATGAGAAGACACCAAAGTAATGAGGAAGAAGAAGCAGATAAAGGATAAAAATGGAAAGGAAATGAAGAAAAAGTAAGTAAGAGAGAAAGAAAGAGAGAGAGAGAGAGAAAGTAAGAGAGAAAGAGAAAGAGAAAGAGTTAGGTTACATCATGAAAAAAGAAGATGAAGAAGATGATGATGATGAGTAGGTAAAGGATCACAAATGTATATTAACAGTTTAATGTAAATAATTAACTAAATCGTTGAGAGAAAGAGAGAGAGAAAAAATAATAATAGGATAAGAAAGAGAGAAGATCAATATTGTCATGAAGTAGAAAGAAAAAAAGAAAGAGAAAAAAATTATATGTATAAGAAAGATCGTGAGAAAGAGATGATTATTTGATTATGGAAATTAGAATCGTCCAGTTCTTGGAACACAAGAGAAAAGGTTAACTACTTTGATTTAATTATTAAAGTGGTTAAACTGATTTTATAACGGTGATGATCATTAAGATGATGACCACAGAAAAAAAAGATGATGATGATTAAATACACACACAAGACACGATTGCAAAAAGATGAAGAAGTAAAAGAAAATCAAGATTATCGGTTAATTTGATTATCAGGATAACATTAAATTGTATTAAACACATTAAGATGGAATAGCAATTTAAGTAATAAGATGTTTACACTTACGTAAGAGTAGAGTGAGTTTAGAGTAGAAAATTTTATAGAAAATGGCGACCGGAAAAGTCGCCATTTTGTATTGACAAATTGTTCGAAAAATCGAAAGCATGAAATTCAATTTTTTGAGAACAATTTTAACATTCACTTATAGAATTAATTTGATTTGATCAAATTAACAGAGACAATTAACTTAAACATGATTAAAACACAATTAAAAAAAGTAACTTTTGAGTGAGAAAGCAAGAGAACAAGTGAGAGAGCAAATGAGAGAGAAAAGAAAGTGAGAAATAAGAAAATGGCGGAAAATTGATTTCTCGATGTGTCAATGCAATGACACTTTTCCCCTTTCCCGGTCCGATGATGGTAAATGACCTCACTTTTCAGTTCTAACCCTGGGAAAGTGTTTTCTTGTTGATTTAATTATTATTTTCTCATTTCTATTAATTATTATAATAATAACATTACCTTTGTTTCAATTGTTTCTGATCCTTTTTTAGTTAATCAACAATTAGCTTGTTGATCGTCATTTCTACTGATTAACTCTTTCTTTTGACTAATTGTTTGTGTGTTCCGTTCAATTTACAGGATCATCATCTCTATCGATTTATCTATTGATTAATCAACAATCAACAATCACCAAATAACCAGAACAATTTACATATAAATTGGAAAGCGAGAAGATTTTGAAACAATTCTAATTGTCAAAGTGATTGATTTTCTTGTTGTTCATGTTGATGAGACTAAGATGATGCACAACAATTAAAACACACTGAAAGTGGATTAAAACTCGAGAAAGGATAAAATTGTGATGATGGATTAAAAGAACAACGAAAACATGGAATTAAAAAGACAAATGGAACATTTAATCCAATTTGATGGTAACAATTAAAAGAGAAAAACAAAAGACTAACAACAATTAAAAGGTAAGAACACAGATGATGATGGAAAATAGAGAGAAGAAGAATAAGAGAAAAGAACAAAATTGTTCTTCAAATAGATTGATTGTCATTTTCTCTTCATCTTTTCAAAAAAGAAAGAGAAATAGACAGAGAAAAGAGAAGAAAATTGTTCTTTTCTCTTTTTTTTCTATGTTATTTGATTAATATTCTCTTTTTGTTATCGAATTAATTGTTTACAATTTAATTCTCTATCTAACTTGTTACATTCATTTGGCGATTAAACTAATTTTTCTCTCTCTCTTTTATTACTTATTAGATTCTAATAGACGATCGTTAAATGTCAATGGTCCTCAATTAATTGCTTAATATTGATCACAATTTAATTTTCTTTTTTTTATAATGCTGATTGTTGTTTACAGTTATCATTGTGTAATCAACAATTGTCCAGTACATAGTTTGTAATCATAAAGAGCAGCTTATCGTGATAATAATCATTTTGATGGTCATCATCATGTTAATCATCTGTAAACATTTACTTTGATTAACTTTGTTATGGAAAAATATTTTCGTCAATCATAATGATTATAAAATCATTTCTTCATCTTTACTGTGAAAGAGGTATTGTCATCATCTTCAAATGTTTATCTTGACAATTTACCAAATTACAAGTTCTAATTCACTGTTAACTATTAACCTTGATACCTTAATTGTTGGATTGGATTGTGTTGCTGATGGTTAATCTTGTCTCCATCAAATCAATTAATAAGCTTATTCATTTATCACCATCAAAATGATGATCGTTTTTTATTTTCTTCTTCTCCATCATCATAATTATCATCATTTACCTTTGGATTGTTATTTTTTTTTCTTCTTCATCTTCCTGTTATTCATCATTTCCAAATGGACATCATCATAAATCACTTTTCAAACATTTGTCATCAAATGCTGATTATCATTATCATGGAAACAACAATCTACATGGTTACAGTTACAATCTCAGGTGAAACAAAAATGAACGGACATTTAATTGTAAATGATGATTTAGGTTAAATCAATTTAATTTACATCTGATCCTCCTCTGTTCCCATATGATTTTTAATAGTAACTTTATCATTCACTAATGATAATAACATAGTTTTTTTTTCATTATTATATCCCTGATTGTTACAATGAATCAAACTATTACATTATTTACCAGTTTGTGTGTGTATCCCCTGAATCTTTATTGATCATGAGATACTTTTTCCATAATCATTACTTAATATTAACTTTCTACTATTAATAATATACTAATGATAAACTATTCTTTTTAATCATCATTCTGTTTAGACTTTTAGCCCCTTAAGCCTCCAAGAAGATCATCATGATGACAATTCATGGTAAACTAATGAGAAGAAAACTTTTTCTGTTTTTCTTTTTCTTTACTATTCAATTCAATGGAAAATCATCAAATGTTTAATATGAAAATAATTTTTCGATTCTTTTTGTTCTCTCTCTCTCTCTCTCTCTTAGAAAAATAATAATTCGTGATGACTGGTGAACCAGAAAAAAGGACATTCAAGAGACAGATCAATACGAAGATGAAAAAGAAAACATGAATTGAACAAATTCAATAATAGATTGATGATAAATAAGAAAAATGAACGAGAGTAAACATGATAGATTCTAAGGTAAACTAGTGACACTTTCGATGACACACATTAACCTTTTCTCATCTTTCTATTGTTTTTCTTTTCTAAGGTTTCGATTATCAAAAATGAAACAAAATGGAACGAAAAAAAGAAAATGAAGGAAAGATAAAGAGAATCAGAGAGGTGACGGGATTGTGCCGTTTTCGATGGACATAAAAGCTTACCCAATGAACGTTTTGTCCGATAATTTTCTGGTAATTCGGGAGCCGATAATGCACCATCACTGTCTTCATCATAAGCTGAATTGTAGGCGGGATTTTTACGCTCAAACCGAACAGATTGACCACCACGTTGCCCTCGTCGATTTTGTGAACTTGAACGATTGTAGCGATAATTTCCTGATGCAAGTCCAGATGCACTTTGACGAGGAAGTGAACTACTCTTCCATTGGTAACCCTCTCTTGATGGTGTACCACTATCACTATATCGACCTGGAGGTAAACCTGGAGGTTTATGTCGCCAATGAAGCGGATGTGAACCCGTTATACCTCCAACCTCAGTATCTGAAACACTTCCATCGGTTGCTGATGGATGTTGACCTCGTCTACGAAGTATACTTGACAATCCTTGGGTAGAAAGTGAAGATCTTATATCGTTTACACCTTTACCATATGACACTAAACTATGATAATCGGCTGAAGTCATTGGTCGACCAACAGTTCTACTTCTTGGTCTCATATAATGTTCTTGATTATATTCTCGACTTAATGGACTTATATTATTATCACTTTCGGTTCTAAGTAGACGAATGTTACGCCGAAGTGAACCTGTGCCCACTCCAGCGTAATCACTTTCACCTAAAAAACGATTCCCTTGACGATTTGGTGAACTTCTTTCCATAAAAGATCGACTCATTATCTGTGAGCGACTCGGTGTTGAAGGTAATCCCCCTCGAGGTAAACTTGCATAAGGTACATCAGAATTGTAACCAGAGTAAATTTGATTTAAACTATCCATTGTTCTAGGAAACCTTTGACCAACAAGTGGACTATTAACTGTCGCCATACCAGGGATACTAGAACCTGGTAAACCAGGAAATGGAGGTTTACGAGATAATGTACCAGAAACTGACCAAGAGTCACCTGGTCGTGCACTAGGAGGCCGAGGGGCAAGTCTAACATAACCATAAGGTGATTCTGAATAAGCATCACTATCATGTTGAAGATAACCACCCATTGGTTGTAAAGGTAAATCAGCTCCAGGTAAACCTTGTAATCGATCAGTTAAAAGATGATGACCATTATCATCATCACGATTAGAACTTAAATCATCGGTACCATATTCTTCATCACCAAACTCCTTTTTCAACACAACAACCGGAGGTTGGCGATACTCTTCACCTTCATATAATCTTCTATTACCCATCATTAAACTTCCCCCTGGACCGGTGACCAAAGGTCCACCCAGACGACTTGCCCTTGAACGAATGGTTAAAACTAATCGCCTTGGTATGGACATAATGATAACAACATCATCCAAAGACATACGACGAACATCAACTAGATTAACAGCTAAAATTTCATCGCCCACCTTAAGTAGGCCACTATTGTACACAGAACTTTCTAAGGCAATTCTTGATATGAAAACACCATCAGAGCAACGGAATCCATCACCCTCACGAATATAAAGTCCTAATGTTTGTCCGGGTCTTTTAACTATTTCAACAAACTGTACACTGGTTGACCCATCCATTGATGTACTTGGTTCAAGATATTTTCTTGCCACTTCAGCTCCCGCTTTACCAAGACTTCGAGGATCTAATAGTCTAATTAACATTTCACCGCGTTTCTCAGCGGCCTCCATATGAGCCGCTGTTGTTGCATCGTATTCCCTTTCAACTGCCTCAATTTGACGGAATATCTCTGAGGTAATACCACTAACCTTTCGGAAATCACCCTGAATCACCATATCCGGATGACGAGAGCCCTCAGTATCTCCAGAATGAAAAGAATAAGCTGAAACCGGAAAATGAACTGCTCGTCGTAAAGGTGGACCACCGATTAATGTACCCGTTGACAAATCCATTGGATCTTGATAGATGGGGAAATTTGGATGAGTAATATAACGAGCTCCAAGGCCGCCACCTTCACCGACAATCCGTTGATTTGGACCTCGAGCATCCTGAAAGAATCATAATCGTCAAAAAAAAACGATAAAAATTAATTTTCATAAAAAAATGATTTCAAACTTTTTCAATTCTATATTTCAACTCATCAGAGAGATACAACAATCTTTCAAAAAAGAGTCAAAGGTCATCATATTTAGCTGACCGGTACCAAGGTGCGGATATTTCAATGGTTGAACCTGTATCTGATTTATGTGTAATTACATATTGAAAATGATTGAATTCAAATGACACCTTGTTGTTTGCGCAGAAGAGGAAATATGAGCCTCCCTGTAAGTTATTTTTCTAACTCCCTGTAATTGTCAAATTGATGCTTGACTGTGGAAAGGTGAAAATATTGAAGAGAAAGAGAAATCTAATTGAAATGAATCTTCACTTTCTTTTTTTTTCCTCTTCTCTTTAAGGGACAATCGAACTCTCTACACCTTTACCACCATAGATAATTCTGAAAACATACAAAAGATAAATGGTTGGATAACATTTCAGGAGAAATCGGAATAAAGAGGAAGATAATAATTCTTGGGAAGAAAAGACAAGAGAGTAAAAAGGAAGAAAGAACAAGAAGGAAAATCGAAAGAGGCAGTAACACCAATGGAAGAAGAAAAAAGGAAAGGCCAAATCGCATGCAGAAATTATGAATGAACAAACGAAAAAGAAATTTAATTGTCATGCAAATCAACTAATTCTATTGAGAATTAGAGAGAGAAAGAGAAGGAGGTTAAATTGTTTAATTGTTGATATGAAAAAAAGTTGAAAAGGATACGAATAGAGTTGAATGAGAAAAAGGAGAAACCCAAAAATTAGGACATGAAAATATTGGACTTAATTGTTCACATCGATTGGATTCATCAACCGGATAAAGTTGAATCACCATCGAAGATGATCAAGTAAAGGTAATCAGACTAATTTAAATTGTTTCGAGGATTGAAAGTTAATTTAATTTACTATTCTTACCTTTTTACGTCCACAGCACAACATTTTGGTATCAGTGATATGTTTAACTTTCCTTTGGATTAATAATACTCTATGGATTGGAATCGATGAGGATGAAAATTTTGGTCTCTCTGGTGGGTTTTTATGGGTCGGGAATGATTCAAGTTTTGATGATGATGATGGTGATGATAATAGAAACAGAAAAGGCAGTGATATCATGTGGTATTTAAATCACAATCTAAATCATCTTGGAATCATCATCCGAGGCTTCCTAATACAAAATCCTAAAAGTAACTGTAAAAAGGGAAAAGTGGTTAACTTTAACACACCGACTCAAACTGATATTCTTCTCCTGAGTTTTTTCCTCTCTCTCTTTCAACCAAAAGGAACCAGAGTTTTAACCAGAAAAAATAGATAAGCATAAATAGTCCGACTCGACAATTCGATGATCAGTTTTTGTTTGTTTCTTTCTTTTTCTGGTTCAACAATTCACTCTTTGGAAATTCACTTCATAATTTCTAATCTTTTAAGACAATTACTTGTTCTCCAAAATCGAAATTTGATATTTATTTGATTGTTTATATTTTCTACATGAAAACGATTCGAGTTATTAACATCAATCCAAATTGATTCCCTTTAATTGTTGGAATTTACCCGTAACCATGGAAACCCGGACGCGGTTTTTTCCTTCTCCTTCTCGGTAATGTGATTACGGTTATTGAACAGATGATTTGATTTTGTTTATTTTCATTTTCTAAAAATTAAGTTAATTAATTTGATTCCATTGTTTTTCCATCGATTTCTTAATTAATTTTCTAGTATTTTAAACGTTCTGGTTGTTTGGTTTCCTTTGGTTTGGATTTCTTTTCCGTGGTAAATCTTAATTCATCTCGGTGTTAATTCATTTAACTGGTAATTGGATTTTGCTTTTCAATTGGTAACCAAAAAAATGTCGGTTGATTTAAGTGACGTGTTTGAACAGAAACTTCATTCTGTTAAATACAATGATAGAAACTCATCATCATCTGTTAATTCATCGAATGATCCTCTTGGCTCATTATTGGCTTCTCTTTCATCTAAAAACTCATCGTCCAAAAATAGTAAACAATTTAAGGAACTAAGTTCTCGGGCTAAGAGTTTAGTTGAAACTATTGCTGCCATGAAAAGATTTCTCATCAAAAGAAGACGGGATTATATCGACATGTTGTAAGTTTCAATCGATTACAATTAATCTATCGCTTATCCAACCTTCTAACTGTAGTTCTTTAGTGTAAATTGTCTGGAATTTATTGTTAAACAAAAACACCAATCACCTCAATTGAATATTTTACAACATGTAACATTCAAAACACTTGAGAATTGATAACACCCATTTTCTTGTTTTCTAATCTTAAACCTTATCTAATTTCTTTTAATTTCTTCTCTATCTTGAGTAGTAGTTCTCTATCTAATCGGGCATCAACCATGAGTGACATGGAAAGAGATCAAATCGATCAGGATATGGTTGAATCGATGAAAGTCTGTCAATCTAAGATTGAATCACTCAAAGCTGAAAGTAAGTTGAGCAAAATTCATTCTAATTGTTAATTGTTAAACTAACAACATTTTCAATCTTTTTTTTTTAAATTGTTCGTAGTGCAAAAGAAAGGGACCAAGTTAAGTGTACAAAGACGTGACATCATGACTGCAATAATCGAATCCATTGAAACTTATCTAAAAGTCGTTTGTGATCTATTTTCTGACCTTCGAGCCTTCAGAATCAGACGAATCACCGATAAACAAAAACTCGCTCGATTAGATCGTGATTTGTTCAACAAAGAACCTTGTCCAGATGAGTTTATCTATTCTCGTGACGCCGATGATGATGACGAAGATAATTTCAACGATTTAATCAAAAACGATCCTCTCGCACCCTTGAAACGAAATTTAACTTCCAATTTTGATAATGATTATAATGATTTATCTCCTCAACAATTAAGTGATTTCTCCAAAGAGGAGCTACAATTATTTGAGAACGAAAATTCCCAACTTTTTGCCGACATTAATTTACTAGAATCCGAAACCAAGTAAGTGATTTATTTCTGTTTATTTCGAAATTTAGTCTCTTAAAACAATCGTTTATCCTTTAATTTCATTTTCATATTTTCATATTTTCTTATTCTATTTCATTTTTCTCTCCAGATCAATTGAAGGAAATGTTTTCGAAATTGCTCAATTACATAAAACTTTTCAACAAAATTTCCTCCAACAAGATGAAGAGATTCAAAGAGTCCATGGTACAGCGGTGGAAACCTCGTCTAACATCAGAGTGGGAAACGAAGAGCTTAGATCAGCCATTAAGAATAAAGGACAGCTTCGAATTTGGATTCTATTCTTTAACATCGTTCTCTCTTTTACTCTTTTCTTCCTTGATTGGTACAATCCTTGAGAGAGAGAGAGAATGGAATCAGTCCTTGATATCTATTAACACACTTGGAAATTTATCTCTCGGCTAATTGTGATAATCTAATCTAATTCTTGGTTATATAATAACCGATTGAATCTCAATTGTAGATTTAAACAAACACACACCAAGAAGCAAATTCAGTCAAAATCGGAGAGAATTTATTTTATTTGGAAGTTTATTTTCTAAACCCTAATCAAACATCATCACAACCCTTTCGCTGATGTATTAATAACAATTAATTGATCAACTTTTATTCACAATTGTTAATTTTCTAGACTTTCCTACAAACAAACCTGATTCAATTGATTGGCTCCAACTTTTGATTTAATGATTGAACCTGTCAAACTTGTTTAAAAACCAAAATGATTTTGATTTCAATTCCAATCAATTATCTGGACTACTTCAAAATCTGTGATAAAATCAATCAGATGGCCAATCAAGAAATCAATTCTTATGTTATTTGATTAATTTATAAAGTTGCAAGTTAATTACAATCAACACTCTCGTGGTCGGTGATCATTCAATGATCTTTGGCAATTAAAATCATTGATTAACAAATGAGTTTATTTAACTTAATTAAACCGGTTATCTTCAAGTATAATCAATAATCAACAAGATTGGGAGTTCCCGGGCTAATGATTTTTAAACATCATCAATAATATTAATCACTACAATTTGATAACAATCTAATGACGTTAATCATCAACAATTATAATATAAATTAAGTGAAAGTTATACTATCAAGTAAACAAAAAATTTATCTGAACAATTGATCAATCAAATCAATTACAAATTGAAACAAAATTAACCAAAAATCATTTTGAAACTTTTATAAATTGTTTTCACGTTCATTGCAATTGAAATAATTTACAATTTGTTTAAATTCAATTGTAAAAAAAATAATTTATTTTGTTTAACTCTAATAATCAAATCAGTTATTTACAGTTTAGTTAAATTCAGTTAATCAAATTGTTACTAAAAAAGTGATGATAATGTTGATCCAAAGTGATGATTATTATATTAATAGTTATTGAATAAGTTTCTGTTTTGTATGTATTGTTGATTGTGATGATAATTAACTCGATGATGATTTAATTGTAAACCACTTGGACTGGAAGTCGATAGCAAATAATCATTTTCCCTGGATGTTTCATCCAATTAGTTTTCTGTAGTCTTGTTAATCGTTTAGATGTAATTGTTTCCCTGACTATGAATCGAACCTCCAATGCGATCTATCAACAATTAACGAAATGATTAAGTGATTATCGAACTAATTAAGATTAATTTAATCATTAAAACTTACCTTTGGAACTGCAGCAGGAACAACAAATGATAAATTCATTCGGTAAGGTTGATCTTTTTTAATTCCTTCTGATGGACAGGAAGTAGAATTGATAAATTTACAAGCATCTTCCGGTTTCTCGTAAGACAATTCCAATGGTTTACCACCGGGACCACCTTTAGGATCTAAAATGGCGTAAATTGCTTGTTCAATTTTACCGAAACCTTCCTTAGCCACTAATTAATTAATTAATTAAAGAGAAACAATTAGAAATGAGAGATTCAAATTTAATTAAAGACTTTGATGATCAATCAAATTAACTAATTTTCTTGATTAAAAGTTTTGTTTTCATATTTTTACTTCCTCATTGATAATTTTTGTTATTATTATTATTGTTAATGGACAATCAATTGATTGTCCATTACTGGTGATTAAATTGATTAATTGATTTACTTACCGAAAATGAAATCAACTTTCATTTCCTTTCCTGGTGTCGCTTGCCAATAAGTTTCATTTGAATTGTTGTAAGAAACGATACTAATTAACTGAGAGAATTGATCAACTTTTTCACCTATTGTGAAACAATTAGAAAACAATTAACAATCAATAAATTGGTTCGAATTAAATTAGTTGAATAGAATTAAACTTCGATCACTGTTACACTTACATGGTTTTCTCGGAGGTTCAAATCCATAAACTGTTGCAATTAGTGAAATAAAGGTAACAATTAACAAGAAATTCATGATTTAAATTAATTCTTTGCTAGGAAATTATTGAAACAAACAAATTAGAATAGTTTAATTACAATTTCACTCGACAATCAACAAGATATTTACTTGATTTACTTGATGTTTACTCGAAGGCAACAATTGATTTAATGAAAAGAGCTCAAAGTTTATGGTTAATATTTATATTACCAGAGGTACACGTGAGTATTAATTGTAATTACAATTTAAAGGTGGAGAGTAAATTTTTCTTTCATCAAATAAATTGTCCGTTAATTAAGTGTGAATCTTGATAATGATGAGTTTCTGTGAGTTGTTTAACTTGTTACTCTCAAGGACAGAGCGTAATTTGCTTTTTTATCAACACACAATTAACTAAATGGTCAATCCTCAGTTGCTAACCAGTCAACTAATTATAAACCATGTTAAATGATTAACAATTAATTAAAATAAACTTTAAAGTAAACAAATAAACTGATTAATCGTCGCTTATTATTAGATTTTCCGATGATGATGTTTTGTTTACTCGGTTAGTACCTAAGGTGTTTATCCTTGTTTTCAGTTGTTTTTTTTACGCAATTTGTTTGTTATTAAATTGTTGATAATCTGGAAATTGCTTTAAATACAATTAATCCTCCAAATTTCTCCTCCTTTCCTATTGATTAAAACGTTCATTCAACTACAAATATAGTAGCATAAATGTATTGTGGTCTTTTCGGTTGATGGTATAAAAATACATTCCCCTTGTTTATCATCATTTGGATTAAATTGTAACTCCTTTTGGTAAAAATAGATTGAATTTTGTTAATTCTAATTTGATTTGATTATTAGAACAACGAACATCAGCTTTCTTTGTCTTTCTCTCCATTGGGACTTTTTATTATTCTCTTTGGTTTTTGTTTTCTCATCTATTCCTTTTATGGATCACATGTAAATGGTAAAATCATCCAAGAGAAATTGATTACTTTCACTGGGTGAGAGTAGATTAATAATAATAACCATAGAATCGTTGAAACTAATCAATTGATTATCAGTGTCAATCAATGTTATTTTTATCCAATTTCCATGATGATGACAAACAAAAAGGTTAACTTTTCCTCCTTTTCCAAAGCTTATCCATTAACCATCATTCCTTTTATAGTCCAGTGGATTTTCATTAGAGCTTTTCTGTGGTTTTATGTTTCCATTTCTTTTATCTCCATTAGTTTATGATGGTGATTAAAGTTGTAGATAAAATCTCATGGAAAATTGTTCATATCAGTTGGTATATTAGCTGAATTTAAAAAAGAAAATAGAAAACAACAAAGAAAAACCAATCAATTAATCCAATCAAAAAACAAGAGTTTCAATTAACATGTAAGGTCATTTTCTTATTTACATAAATACCTTTAGACTTTTGGTTAGACCAGCAACTCAAGATTCCAATCGTTTCTAAATCAATCATAGATGGAATCAACATTCACAATTTAACTAATTAGAAAAAAAATTTCCCACAAATTAAACTTTAAATTAATTATCAATTGGAAATTAAAGTCAATTGAAGTTCAATTGTTGAACTTTTTTCTCATTCTCCTTGATGATAAATCGGAAAAATTTAAAGAGAATTCGGTTAGTAGAAAAGGTCAACAAGAGATGTCGCCAGTTGGCAAAAATTTTCGAAAATTTTTTTCTTCAAACTTTTTGATTACAATTTATTTTCTTAATTTATTTATTTTATGTACAATTAGTTCAATTTGTTGATACATAAGACAAATTGTTGTGTATTTTATAATTACAATTAGAAAATTGATCAGATCAATTTACTTTACAATAATAACAAGTTATATGTATGAACACAAGCAAATGAGATGAAGTAGTTAATTTTTTTTTTCTTGATTACCATTTGATTGATTTAAAAATTAATTACAATTGAATAATATTTTAATTGGTAGGATGGATAATATAATTAGATAATTATTATTCTGTTATCATAACAGAGAATGAAAATATTAGGCCAAGGAATATTATTCCGAAATTTAAATGGAAAGATTCAGCGATTAAAACGGTTGATTCCTCGAATTAGATTTACTGGATTAATTTGGAACAGTTTAATTTTTTAATTCACTTTCATATTCTTTAGCAGATTCATGGATAACTGGAAATGTTGGAGATAAACTTGAATCTTCCAATGATAAAGCTCTCAAATATGCTGATGAATTATTGTTAACCACATTATTATTATGAAGGGACGATAAACCTGATTTTGAGCATCGACGGTGAGATTGAAGTGTTGAATAATCATAATTAGCGAAACCATTTCGTCTTAATAGACTATCTTTTTCTGATCCAATTAGATTAACTTTACCAAGATAATCGGGATCATTATTGTTAATAACAACATGTTGTTGTTGTTGTTGATTATGTTGACCAATACTCCAATTAGAATAATCTTCATTTGGATGGATATTGATTGTTGCTGAAATTAAATGATGATTACGATTCCATAAACCATTAACTCGATTGGTAATGATTCCTTCTGATAACCGTCTAGGCCTGAATCTATCAATTGTTGCTGTTGTTGTTGGATGATTATTGTTATTACTTCTTGTTAATAATTCAATTGAATTATCGTCATGCACTGTTACTCGACTGCTGTTAATTACTGGAATTAAATTGTTATTGAGCTGTTTAACCATGAGAGAAGCACTTGAATCGGAATAACGTCGATTTAAGGATCGATTTGAATATATATTTGATTGATCGTAAACATCTTGGCCCCAATTGATTGCTTGTTGTTGTTGTTGTTGTGGGTGGTGGAGATGATGATTTAACTGTTCTTGTGAGAGAAGTGATGTTAATTGTTGATCGGTTGATTCTTGTTGTTGTTGGATTATTGAATTATAGTCAACTTGATTTTCTATTGTTGAGTTATTGGTTCGGTTCGGGAGTAGCATACTATTTTCATCCTCAGACATCATTAGATAAGATTCAAGGCACTTTTCAAAACCACTTCCATCAGGTGATTTATTACTAATATTTGGACTTAGATTGTTATCGTTAATTGTTGTTGAATGTTGATCGGGTGGGAAAACTTTAACCAAAGTATCCGATGTTAAAAGTGATCCATTAGATTGAGTTATCACTATTGTATCTTTGGCACCAATTGTTGACGTTGTTGATGACGATTTAGAGGTGAGTTGATTAAATGGCCTCTTTCTGTCTTGTTCATTATCAATCGATTTGTTTATAATATGATTGGTTAGTGTTGGTTTACAATTATGGTAAGATGGATCCAGGGTGGAATTTGATTCAATCTTTTCACCAGCAAGATTTTCAGTGTTGGAGGTTTTAAAGATGCTACTGAATAGTGAAGTTTTATTTCGTAGAAATATGAAACAAACTGAAAGGATAACTAAAAGGAAGACCAATATTGTGGCTAAAATTATTCCAATTTGTTCATCTTTATCGGATGATCTCAATTCTTCTTCACCAGAGTGTTCAGGTTGGATAACGCCAATTACTATTGAATTTGATGCATTTCCTGCTTTATTTGATGCGTAACAAATATACCTATTGAAAGAAAGAGAAAATTGAATTGAATTGAATTGTAAGAACATAAAATGTTAATCATCATCATCATCATCATGATAGTCAATGGTCATGGTTTATGATAAAACTTACGTTCCAGAATCTTTCTCCATGGTCTCAGTAATCGTCAATTTAGATGTTTGTCCATTGTCCATCAGAGTATCTCTAATGGTAACATACTGTTTTCCAAATGACATATAGGTACTATTTTTAATTATCTGCCTAGAAATTTGATTCGATTCAAAATACCAAGAGACATTGGACATCGGTGTTGAATGAATACGACAGGTTATGGTTCCATTTGATCCTGTTTATTGTAAGAGACAATTGAAGAGAGAAAATAAATATTAGTTGAAGAGCCAATTAGTTATTAGATCGTTACAATGTAAACAATGAGATTATGGTAGATGAAAGGCCTAAGATGATCAATCTTACCTTTAATAAATTTGGCACTAGTTAATGAGGTAATTTTTGGACTACAGGCAAATTCATCTGGACCCAAATTTTGCCAAGATGAACCTTTCAATCGGATCGGTTTGTCACATATTGGAGGCACAGTAATTGAAATTGATCGGTCAATCAAACCCGATCTAAGGTCAATAATCCGGCAATCACAGAACCAATGATTCTCATGGAGATTAATTTGTTTCAGTGAAACCAAAGAATCCAAAATGGAACCAGGTAAGTCTCTAAATTAATTTAGAAAAGAAAATAACAAACCAAATGAATGAAAGAAGAAGAAAACAAAAAATGAAAACAAAATTATCAACAAAACTCTCAACATTCAAATCTAAATAATCACATTGAGAATTTGAAGAAGAAACAAAAAAAAAGATGTTCATCAACAAAAGAACAAATTAATCTCACAACTAAGAACAATACAAAATGTTCCAAAAAAATAGAAAACAATTAACAACAGAATAAGAATAGAAAACAAAAGAAAACAATTAATTAAATCACAATCGAAATCGGTTAACAAATGAAAAGAATTTTAAATTTCTACTTATCAACCAATGAGAATCGATTAGAGTTTCAATTAGACATTAGATGGAGTTAGATGAACATCTAATTGTAAGATTAATGTTCATTTCTAATTGTGTGTTTAACTTTTTACAAATTAATTTAAATTGTTCTTTTAATTGTTGTAAATTGTTTCGTAATTGTGTACCTGAGAGGAGCAACAATTAATACAATTTTCCATTTACAATGTTTTCCATCAACGGTGAGATATAAACGTTAACAGAAATTATAGAATTTCTGTTCATTGTCTCCATTTTTTTTTCTTTTTTTTCTATTTTTCTATTTTTCTATTTTTCTCTTCTTCTTCTCTTTGTTTTCATCTCTTTACCTCCATTTTGTTTTTACCTTATCAACATCTTCATTATCTTTATCATCATATTTGAATTTTCTTTCTTTATCCTTTTTGTGAGACTGATGATGTTGTAAATGTATTAACTAAATTTGACACAATAATTTTCATTGACATTAATCATATTTTTCTCTGTGCTCTCTTTTTCTAATGTGTGTTGAAGGAAAAAATTGCTTCGTCACCGACAATTTAAATTTATTAAATCAGTCAGAATTATCAGCGGAAAAAAACTATTACCATTATTATAGTTATTGTGACTGTGTTACCATGATGGAGAAAAGGTGAGTAAAAAGTGATATGAAAAGTGAGAGAGAGAAAATATTACAAGATATGATGTTGTTTTCTTCATCATTTTGTCAGCAACTAACATAAGAAAATGGAAAGGTAAAGATTGGAATATACATAAAGTGTTCATATTCAACGTTCAATGGAATAAGCTTAAGGTTGGAGAATTGAATTCTCGAATGAATTGTTAAATTGAATTTAAATTGAGAGAAAAATGCTTTCCATTTGCTTTCGAAAGGAGAAAAAAAAATATGTTCATATATATTTATGTTCTATTATATAGTAATAATGATAATCGAAATGATATAATATGTAAATTTAAGATGAACAACAACAAACTAACGTTTTTTATCCTTTTCTTTTTTTCTACAGCAAAAAAAAATGATGATCACTAATGATGAACAAACAATCAATGAATTCCGGGTAACAACAATTGAGACGAGAAGAGAAAATTTTTACAATCATTCAAGTGATTAACATAATCATCATCATGTTACTCTTATCCAATTTTACACCATGTTATCAATTTTTGGACAATCAAGTTAAAGGATATGAAAAGGATTAACATCTCATGGATTTACATCATAATTTAACCAGGAAAAAGTTTCAAGTTAATCATTGAGAGAGATAGAGTTGCAAAGGATTAAGGATCTATTAGATTTAAACAGCAATTTTAATCTTCTTTTCGTTGAGGAAAAAAAAAGTTAAATGTTAATCAATATCTCTTTTATTGATTAACTTTTTTTTTCTGCATCAAATCATTTACAGAAGCAGTTTATTGTTCAAATGATTGATGTTTTAATGTGCTAGTTGATTTGAATATTAGATATGTTAGTTACACTTTGATTCCCATTGATGATTCAATTGTTGCATGAATATATTGATTCACTATTAAGATTGTTGCTATTGTAATTTATAAATTCATCTTCCTGTGCAACTCTATCAAATGGTTAAATTATATTATTATTATTATCGTTACAGGAATCATAGATTCCCGGTCAACATGAGACTCAGAATTTTTAATGGAAATGAGATACAAAATTACCAAGAATTCAAGTAACACAGTTTTCCAAAAATTGGTGTTGAAAAAGTAAAATTCATGAAGATTTAGAACAAGAAAAGTGTATGGAAATGGTTCTAAATCCTTAGTTAGATAGTTTAAATTCAGGAATTTTGATTCTCATGATAGAACCGGAAATCTATGAACAATTCAGAAGATGGAGAGCGAAAAAAGAATCACAAATACTTTATTTTTTTTCTTCTCTCTTTCCTTTCTCTCATCATTATCATCATCATTCTCATTCACATATCATCTTCCAAGAGAAATGTAATCTCTGCTAACGAAACCTTAAACTGTCAATCTTATCATGGAAAATTGTATTTCCAAAGAATAGGGAAAAGTAGAAATCTTTGACATGAAGATGATGACGATGAAGAAGAGAATGAAGAATTGGAATATAATAATATATATAGTTTGTAATAGAATCTAAATGACAAGTGATTTTTTCTTCTCAAGGTAAAGATGATGAAGATGATATCGACCATAGAGAGAAACAGCTATCAAATACTTTTGATTGGGAAAAAAAGTTCTGAGCTCAGATAAAGATAACATGTTGATAGTTGATAACCTAAGATAAAGTTCATTTTAATATCTATTGAATTTGATTCGTTGTGATGATAATATTGTGAGAAACGAGATGAATTGATTAAATTGATCATCCAAATGTCATCAATATTATTGATTATTTGTAATAATAATTATCCAAGAATATGTGATTTCCTGATTAACATGATTGTGAAAATTATCTTACATGATGATTGAAACTTTCAGCTTTAAATAAGAGATAATCTTACAACATAAACATTGAATTGAACTAATTTCCGATTGAGAAACAAATTTCCGGTGGTAAACTTTTTCTAACTTGATCATCATCATCATCATCATAAACAATTCTCTTTTTAATCATGATGATCATCATCATTTCAATGAATTGATTGTTTACTTATTCAAGTTGATTTTGAAAAATCCTAAACACACCATGAAAGAGATTGGATTTTCTTTGCCTGTTTGATTGTTGGAGTTAACAAATGATATAATTAATAACTTACTTTAATTTGTTTCCATTGAGAAGTAGGTAATTAAGTTTCTCAAGGCCTTCAAATGAATTTGCTTGGATGGAGGTGATGGCACAATTAGATAAATCAAGGAGTTGTAATGAATTTAAATGGACAAACGCTGAGGAATCAATTTTTTTGATCGCATTCAAATTAAGATAAAGACGTCGCAATGATCGGGTCTCTCGTAAGGCTCCAACGGGAATATGATCCAGATAATTGTTACTTAAATCCAGTTCAACCAGATTAGTTAATGATATAAATGAATCATCAGGTATCTTTTTTAAACTGCAACTGTAAAGATACAATTGAAAGTGAAACCGAAATCAGTTAATGATCAATAACAATTTGAAATTGAAATATTAATATTTTCTTTAACAAATAGAGCAAAAAAAAAGTTCTTAATCTGAACGGATTAGATTATCATCATTATTATTATTATCGTTTTCCATGATCAGATTATTATTTTCCAATGGAAATTGAAATTAAGTTTGAATTGCAATCAAAGGGAATATGATATTTTAGATCAAATTAAAAAACTGTTTATTTTATCACCAAGAGGGAAAAAAGATAAAAAAAAAGTTCAATAAAATCCCCATGAGATTTTCTCATTGATTCCTCTGGGAATATAATGAACATTTACCATGGATGATAAAACCGAGATATTTATCATCATCATCATCGTCATCATTTAATACAAAGAGTAAACAATATATTTATTTATTTTTTTTACTATTGACCATCAATTGTTGTCTATTCCTTGACCATTATAATCGTTATCATTATTGACATTGATCATTGTTATTGTTATGATTACCATGAATGAATCTGATTCCTGAACTTTTATCATCATCATCATCATCATCATAACAATGAATCATTTCATGTGTATATCTTTTTTTTTTATAAATATAATGTGGTTGTGATAATGATTCCAGGATGAAATTATCATCTTCATGATGAAGATGATGATAAAACAAAAAGCTGATGAACAGTAAAGCTGAAAAAAAAATCATATATATAAATAGTTGTATTCATCATGATAATGTTATCATGATGAATAATATTTACATGATATTATCTGTGGATTATGAGGTCAATTGAATTAACTATGTATTCTTGCATAAATAGATAAATTCATCTGAGTTAATGGTGATTTAAATCATGAGAGACTTGAAGGAATCAGAGGAAAATGATAATAGTCAAGAATGATAATGATGATAAATTAAATACTCACTTTCAGACTGATTAAGTTGTGGGAGCTTAAAAGTGAGAGTGAGTTATTGTCAAAGGAATCGTTATCATCATCATCTTCATCTTTCCATCAATTGACCTTAGTCATTGATGATGATTCTTATCATGATGATGATCATTATTCAGTTCACCTGAAAATTTCAATTCTATTTAGTTAACTTTCTGTTTACATTTTGTTTCCATCTTCAATCATTTATCATTTCAGAGATGAGAACAATTTAACAAAAAGAAACAACAATTAAGTTAATGATAACTTTTTCCAATTCTCTATCAAAATAATAACAATAATCAACTTCATCTTCCTTGTGTCAACCTTAATCATCATGATAATATAATCATTTTTTTTCTTCTTCTTCTCTCCCTTGTCATTATCATCTTCATGATTAATATAATCATTATTGATAGAATCAATTGTTGGAAGCTTTTTTTAATCAAATCTTAAACTCATTATTATTATTACATTGTAGCTATTGTATTTTCAACTGAATCAAGGAAAAAAATTGATTGAATTATAACAAACTGTTATTTTGGAAAAACTTTTTCTCCACCATCATGATAAACTCATTTACTTATGAATCTTTCATGGTGATTAAACTTTTTTATTTATATTAAATATGAAGATAACAATCAAGTGTCAATCAATTGTTTTCTTGATTGTGTCTTTTATATCTTAATCAGAGTGAGAGAGAAAGAGAGAGAGAGAGAGAGAGCGATGGTTATTAATTTGATTGGCAATTTATAATTAAATTTATAATTTCTCATCATTAGGATAAATTAACTTTCGTTTGTTGTTGTCTTTTTTATGGTAATGTCATTGGGAGATATTGTTACTCTTGATTGAGTGTTGATGTTTGTTGTTGATGATGATGATGATGATAATGATGGTGGTGGTGATGATCGAGGTGATGGAGGTGGAGGATAAGTGGGAGTGGGATAGATGGTTGAATTTGCTTCTGGGTTAAGTTGACAATATTTAATTGTGCTTAATGGTTTGAGACAAAAGAGTCAGAAGGGAAATGCTGATGAAAATGTTTTCTCTTCTTTTTCTCCTTATATTATAACCAATACCCTCCTTCTTGGTGTATTTTCAATTCATTATCATTCTCGGGTGTGAGATTGATTTGAAAAGAAGGAGGAAAAAGCTAAGAAAGAAGGTAAAAGAAAGAGGAAAGAAAGAAAGAAAATTTTCTTCAGAATTCAGTGCCTTCTCTTTTCATCATCATCATCATCTTCTTCTTCTTCTTCTTTCTTAGTATTCATAGCACTTCATTGACCTTGACACGCTCAAAGAATCATGAAAAAGGAGCAAAAGAAAATGCTAAGGAAAATGTTGAAAGAGTAAGAATGAAGATGATAAGATGATAATGATGATGATAAAATTTGTGAACATCAGATGAAAATCATCTAAAAGTAAATGTTGTAACCAATTCAATTCAATTGACTATTCATTCTGATTTCAAGGATTCCCTCATCATCTAACATAACAAAATAGACTCTGATAATGATGAGAGCTTTTTTTATCCTCATCATCACTATCATCAAGAGGCAACATTATTCAAAGGACAATGTCACCTCTTTTTTTCATCATCTTGGTGATAAAATGAACTTGAACATGCAAAAGAAACTGAATAAAGAATAATGTAAATATCGAAGAGATAAATTCATCTCTTCATCTTTTAATCTTGCATATTGAAAAAAAAGGTAGAGTAAAATTGAACCAGAATTTACCTGGATAAAAGGGAGGAGTAACTCTGAATACCCTCTCTGATTATGATACAGTGAAAGTTAATATTAAATAAATGATACATTGAAAAATTAACCAAATATGATGATAATAAATCTTATCATCATATTTCAATAATACTATTAGTTAAACATTGTTTAATTTATATACTCTTGTTAATCACAATTTATCATCCCCTTGATCATTAACATGATTATTTTTCAATAAACTATTGTAGTTTTTATATTTATTATTTTCGAGTATCGAAAAACTTTCTCAGAACTTTTTCCTCCTCGATTTTTAGGTTAACTCCTTTACTTTTCATGATTGGATTTTTTTCCCTTCTCTTCATGCTAATATATTATATTAAATTGAGGATAAATGTTTCAGATAATAAGTTGATATATACACAGTTAGTGAATGAAGATAATGTCGATGATAAAGTACATGAGAAGATGAGAGAGAAATTTATCTTCAAATTTCATCAGGAAATCAAGAGGGTGGAAGATTAGAAAGAGAGAGAGAGAGAAAAAAGTTCCAAGATGAGGTTTAAGAAAAGTTCAGATGGAAACCAGAGTTTTCTGATTTACAGATTATCTGGAAATGTTTTCTCCTAAATCATGGTAATAATAATATCCAAGGAAACTGTCAAATTATTATCATGAACATGAATATCCAAGTAAAAGGATAAAAAAAACAGAGAAAACAAATGAGCGCGAAAATTAGGTTTCTTGATCAATCATCGAATAACCTTAGAACTAAGATATTAAATATCATCATTATACTTGGATTATTCTCGAATATTTAATAATAAAAACATTTCGAGAAATTTGTTTTCCCACTGATCATGAATAATAGACGAATTGAATCTATCAACAACTACAGATTATGAGCCAATCATTTAGATGGAAATGATGATGTTGAAAAGCAATTTCATCTAAATCGACGACAGCTAAGAACCTGAGAAACATTTTCGACGAAAAAAAACAAACTAGAACTCGAACTAGAACTCGAAACTAAAGTTACATTTGATATGTTCCCAGCTTTTTGTTTACCTGAAGAGTTCCAACCTCATCACCATATCCTTCCTGATGAATACCAAGTTCACCCCCATTGAAATCTGAGTAATCATATTCCCTGAATTTATATTAACTTTTAATAATATAATTTGATGGCGGAAATGATCTTAAAAAATACCCTCGATTATCATCTCATTTATCATGAAATTCAACCTTCATCATCTCATTTTCATGATAATACATAAGTAATAAGATGAAAGGAAGAAAAAAAGTTAAACAAAAAAAATAGACAAATAAATTTAAACTGAAAACATTTTTCACTCTGTTCACTAATCACAATTAAGTAAATCACAAAGGAATCACTTGGTTTAGTAATTTGTTTTCTTACCAAATGAATAATCATTGTTTCATCATCAGGATCATTATTTTATCATGAAAATTGATTAAAAATTAAACTTCAACTTATGTGAACAAATCATAAAACGTAATTGATTAGCAGGGTAACCAGAAAAAAAAATCAAGAAACGAAACAATTTCACTTATTATTAGATTACAACTGAATACATATTGATACATTTCTAACGGTAAATTTATTTACCTTTGAAAATATCGAACAATTTTTTTCTTTCCTTCCTTTTTCATGATAATATTCAGAAGAAGAAGATGATGATGATGATGTTAACGAATTATCAACATCAATTGTCTCAGAATTTTGTCTCCACCTTTTATCTTCATCTTCATCTTCACTTTCTTTTCCTTCTTTCTTTTTGATTGAACACTTTTACCTTCTCCATGAAACATCATCATCATGAGAGATGAACATGATTCTGATTCTTTTGGAACTTGTTCCTTAACACTATTTTCTCGTTTAGAAGGTTTTATTATTTAGTTAGCATCCAATCAATTGTGAAAACTACTAAAGGATAAGAAAAAAAAAGAAGAAGACGAAGATGAAGATAAAGATAGATGATGAAGATGAAGATGAAGATGAAGATGAAGGTAGAGGAGAAGTGGTTAAGATGAGCAAAAGATGATGAAGAGTAACTACTGAATTTGATTCGTCTTAATTCAATATACACAATAGACTGACACACTTACACTAAATTCATAGACAGTTACATACAAAATCAATGGCTCTTTCCCTTTTCATGATAGTTAACCGTTATTTCAGTTAAATATATAAGTTGATCATCTTTTTATCATCATCATCACCACCACAACAACTACCTTCACCACCTCATCCAAAACTACTCCCAATTAACTTTGTTAATATACTAATAGTGTTGAAGGTATTCAAATACTCATACAA